CGTCCCAGAGGACACAGAGGGCTCCTCTGTGACATCAGACTCAGGTATGATATCATCAACCATGGTGCGATGGAACAGCACACATGAGGTGTTCAAGAAAACTGGGAATAATTTCCACTTTCCATGCCTGAGGGAGAGACTAAATGAGGACTGTGTCGTCACCAGAGCCCCATGTGGGCAGATAAAAATGTAGCCTGACCAAAGTGTGTCCTCTGCACAGATCCTAAAGCCGGAAACTTCCCAGCTGACATGACTGTGTTGCCTTGTGATGTCACACAGCAACTATGAAATGAGCAGTTAAGTAATGAGGCTATAAGTGGCAAGCAGCAACGTGCGTAAATGCAGACCAGGATAGAAGGCAGGCCTTGACCTGGAATTACTAGGGGGTCACATGACCTAAATTAGCATAACTTCAGAGCTAAATCAGGAGCATCACTTCATCAGTTTATTCTCTTGAGGTTAATTTTCGATTGGAAAAATAATAAACTAATAGTGAAACAATACCTGAGCATGACGTTAGCACTGTTGAATAAACTTGAGTCAGCTTTTTTAGAAAGACAAATTCCAGTGTTCTGTGTTACTGTATACAGTATGTCAAGCCTTGGCCCCTTCACCATCCATTACCTCATTTTCCTACATATACACACAGTGTTGATAAAAGTTTGCTAGGCTAATGGTGGCCCTGCATAGCAACATGACATTAAGAAGTGACTTGATGAAGTGACTATGAGGCAACATCCTCTAGACACACAGTGTTGTAATGCATAACAGTACATGCTGGGATTATTAGAAAGTGTGATCCTTAAATCAATATTTTTATGTTAACAATAGATCACATGGCTACTTGTATGAGAAAGGGGTCACTCGTAGTGACGAATCCACAAAGAATTACCATCCAACAGTTCCCATTTATATTGTGTTTTATGTCATAGTTTTTTTGGGGGGACTGCAATGATACTGTTGTTGTGAGCAACAACAAACAAACAAAAAAAAGCATTAAAAACCTGCTGTATGCTAACTTCAAAACACCAAACAGAAGGCAGGGGACAGTTAGCAAATAGCCGATGAACGTAGTGGAGCATTTAGGGCCAGATTTTTCTCATCAGGAGTTGGTGGAGACCAAAACAGAGTAATTACCAAAGTGAATATGGGATCTACATTAATCACATTCCCAGAAACCCAAATAAATTCTAATGTTGCTCTTTATCTGCTGGACGTGTTCATAGGCAACTGTTTTATAATAAGTGGTTTTATAAGGTGTGGCATTGTTCTGCTTGTAGCTTGTTTCCCCTGCACCCAAGTGGCAAATAAATAGCTAAGGTTTAAAGGAAACAAACTCAGTGTTGGTGGAGGGGCCTTATTTTGTGATGGTTTTATTTGTGCTTTATTGGTTGGAGGTTTTTATTTATATACAAAACACCCACGAAAGAAATTTAAAGCTGCGCATGTTTTGGCCTTTTACAGTTAAATTATCGTTGTATAAAATGATCTTACAAGTTGACAAAATAATCTGCGTAGATTTAGCACACTGGACAACAATATATTTTCCAGTGTGTGACAGCTTGCGCAGGTATCCTTTACAACACTGATGCCAACAAGTACAGAGCTGAACAGACTGCCCTAACATTGTATCACCACCAAAGTTCTGATTACTGATTTTAACCCACAGCTACTCTCTTAGACAAATATCTTGGTCTATACTTAGTCTTGACATATCCGGGCCTACCACACACAGAGCCATATGTTTCCTTTGGCCACCACCGTCGGCCCATTCACACGTTTAGATCTGCAGAACAGTGAGTGTGCAGCCTGCTGATATTCTGCATTGGAAACCCTGAGACTGACCACACAGTGAACACACAGTCTGACAGTAAAACAACCAGCATCATAACAACATACGCAACAATAGGAGTTTCCTTAGTTACTGTTACAATATTAAGGTGGCTTTCAGTTGACCTTAAAACGATCCCGCATATATTTTTCACTTTGTTTTCTAAAAACATAAACCCTCAATTATTTATCATTTAGTCAGACTTGGTGTTGTCTGATAAAATTTTTATATCTTGCAGTCTTTCATAGGCATTCGAAGGCGAGAAAAACACAACAGGATTTCAATTGACTTTCACCATCCTCAAGTGACATTCCTTAAGACCATTCAGAAACTTTCCTGTGATGTAAGATAAACTGACTCAATAAATAAACAGCCTGACAGACAGTAGATTGCTCTGCACGCAAGATAACAAGTGTGAATGTTGTTTTGCAGCGTGGCTGGAGTACGTTCCTCCATCAAGCTGTTTCCTTCAGATATTACAGAGATGAAGTGTGGGCCCTGAGGCTGTAATGAGTGACAACACAACGCACATGTGCGCACACACACACACACATACACACACAGAGTAACACACACTCTCTCTGGTCTGTTGTGAGAGACAGAGCGCTCGACACAAACCACACGTTCACTCACGGCAATGTTTTTCCTTGGTCTAATAGGAGTCCCTACTGTACTGAGCCAGCATAGAGAAAGAACATATCCATATTAGGAAAAGAGCAGACGTCCTTATATGGGGACGCTTCCTCTGTAGTAACAGCCCAGTCTGCTGGCTTCTCCCTTACATTCCTTCAGCTCCAGGTTTCTCTGGGAGTTTTTCATTTCCGATTCGCTGGCTGGAGAAGGAGCAGGTCCGCCTTTCATAAGAGTCTGGCCTGGTGTGTGATCCCCCTTTTTCAAAAAAATACACAAACCTCCGTCTAGCCTCTTTCCTGCAATCCTCTACTCTGGGGTTTGATGTAGTAAAATAAGCCTGGCCAGGGACAGGGCACACCTGGCCTTTCAAGTTGGTCACAGACTAAACCTCATTAGGCAGGTGAGAAGCTAGAGAACATGTAGCCTTTGTTCCCGTAATATCTGCCTCACATGCCTGCATGGGACGGGCTGCACTTTCACTCAAGTCGACCCAGGATTTTTAATCATCATTTGTCCTTACTGAGACCCAGTGGACTCAAAACGTCATGTCAAATGTGAAATCAAATCCCCAGCCTTTGTCTTCAGTAGAATCCTTGAAGAAGAAAAAAAAATGTAAAGAAAAGATGCCTAATGCTCAAATCAACAAACATCCATTTCAGGTCAGGAAATGCCATTAACTTAGAACATTAGTCTCTATCCCCTAAATACCTGTCCTGCATACCTTGGCAGGGTTGCACATTCAGCTCAGGTAACTCAGGAAACTGGCCATCAGGATCATCTTGTAGTATTCAGTGGCAGGAAGAGATGACAGAAGCGCAGCTACACAGCACATGTTCTATTAATCATTTGTCCAATCTATTAGGTTGAATTTAAACTAACTGGAGTGTCATTTGACTCTGATCATTTCACAAGGAAGGAAAACTAAATGACAAGGCCTTAAACGCTTTACAGTCTAGTAGCTTGCATTATTGCAATGAAAGTTCGGCTGGTTGGTCCCAGTTTGCAGTAGTGGAAAGTACATTCAAGTACTTAAGTACAATGTTAAGGTACTTGTACTTTGATAATATCCATTTTATGGCACTTTACACTTCTAAACTCCATGGGAAAATATGGTACATTTTATTCCCCTACATTTGTTTGGTGACTATAGTTACTAATTACTTTACATAAAAAATATGAAAAGCTTAAATAACTAAAGCAGTGGTTCCCAATCTTTTTGCCGTGTGACCGTTCACAAAGTGTGGGGCCACTTCTGTACATTTCATGTGTTTGCCTTGTCAAAAGAAACATCCTCTAAACTTCTGAACTGTTGGAGGTCCAAAGAAGTCAGTTTATCTAATATTTCACAAAAGGCCAAAAAAGTTTTAAAGAAAAATGTATATGAATTTGCGTAGCAGAACTACCTAGCAAACTACCTAACGGCATATAAATGGTTAAAACTAACTCCACGTCAAACAAGTACAACAGTATAATTCTGCTTATGCTTTGATATAACAGTATTAACAATCAAGCAGTGCATAATAAGATATCACTCAGGTGCCAACTCTCTGCAGACTGAGTGCTTTCACTCCTGATACTCACGCAAAACATTTATCTGATAATGCTGCATTTTACTTATAATGGAGTAGTTTTAGATTGTGGTATTGCTGCTTTTAGGGAATAAGGTCATGACAAAATAATCTGTGTATTATGTCTATCATACAAAAGGATAATAGGAAGTATTTGTGCTCATTCATGCTCATGCACTCATGTGTTTAAATGAGTAATACTCAAAGCTGCAGCTCAGCCTCTGATGTCAGTGAGCAAAAATGCCCCTGCAGTGTCCCAGAGGTTTCACACAAGTACAGAAGACAAAGTCAAACTGCAGCAGCTGCCAAGTCTCTGTGCTGGAACAAGCACCTTGATAGATAACCAGCTCAAGCTAATAACACGAATGAATTTCCTTCCCACAACCGCTTGCTGTTCATTTATGAAAGTACAAGCTGTTTGTGTACCTTTGAAGCCAAAGCTGAGGAATGCTGTTGTGGGCTTAAAGTCTTAACCATACATTACACATCAATCAGTTCATTAACCCATTGAATGTTTATGGATTTTTATGAGTTTCTACCTGTTGTTTTTAACTGTTCTTCTTTCACGTAAAGCTCTTTGTGCTTTCATTCTTGAACTGTGCTTAAGTTTTTTTTTTTCTGTTCTTTTTTTAAAATTAATATTTATAGGCACCGGCTGTCTGTTTGTGAAGTCAGTCTTCAGGAATTCCCAGTGTGGGGTCCCAGGTCTCTAACCAGACTTAACCTCCCATTCCAGATGAAAGCTGCTCTGAGAGAGACAGTGTTGTTTGGCCGAGCAGCAGAGCCTTGCCTTCAGACAGCAGGAATGTGGGATGTCTGGAGTGGGGGTCAGGAAGCGAGGAAAGAATGCCAAGTATGTCCATGTTTGTCCAGGGCTGGCTCTCCATTCAGCCCCCAGTGACGTGCTGTGAGGGCCAGCGAGTATAAAGGGAGCTCTCCTCTCCAGTCAGAACTCAGATCAACTCCTCTACCGAAGCTAAACTCTAGCTTTCACCAAGAAAGAAAGAAAGAAAGACTGTGACTGGAGCAGCAGAGAAACGCTACGAGACAAAACGAGATCGACTTGATCAGAAAAGATTTCTCAAGCTCAAACTCTAAGACTAAAGGAAGACTTTCTCAACAAGACTTAAGGAAAAACTCAAATCTATTCCTACAAAGAAGAAAAGATGTCTGCTGGAATGAAGAAAATGATTTTGCTGCCTTTCCTGTGCATCATGCTCTCATACACAGTAAGTTGAGAAAAACCATTGAAAATGACATTAAACTGCTGTTTTTTTGTTACTGTAGGCTTTAATTATGTGGGCGGTTCATTGAGTCTTTAAACTTTACCCTTGTCAAAACTTAAGCTCTAACCTTAAAAGACATTGCTGGATGTATAACTGTAGTTATGTTGCAACATGTGGAGATGATATTCACCCGATGATATTTACCTCAGGCTGCAGGTCAGGAGTGCAGCGGCCAGTGTTCCTGCCCCTCCACTCCCCCTCAGTGCGCCCCTGGAGTGAGCCTTGTGCTGGACGGCTGTGGCTGCTGCAGGGTGTGTGCCAAACAGATGGGGGAGCTCTGCACCGAGAAAGACGTCTGTGACCCGCACAAAGGCCTCTACTGTGACTTCGGAGCCCCCATCAACAGACGCATAGGAGTCTGCACAGGTGAGCCACTGAAAGAAGAAGTAATGACTTTTCTACCGTACGCCACAACGGGAGTCTAACTTAAAAGTGTATGAACTGAATCATGACCTTTACCCTGTCGTTTCCCCCACAGCTCGAGATGGAGCCACCTGTGTGTTCGGAGGAATGGTGTACAAGAGCGGAGAGACTTTCCAAAGCAGCTGCAAGTACCAGTGTACCTGTCTGGATGGAGCTGTTGGCTGTGTCCCTCTTTGCTCTATGGACATCCGGCTGCCCAGTCCCGACTGCCCCATGCCCAGACGGGTCAAGGTGCCAGGGAAGTGCTGCGAGGAGTGGGAGTGTGATTCTCCCTACAGACACAGTTTCATGGGCTCTGTTTTGCCTGGTAAGTTAGTTTGCTTTTGTGCATCGCAAAGTGTTTTTTCAAGTGAGATTTAATCAGGATGGTCTTTCTAATCAAGTGTTTCCTCTTGTGTTTACAGCTTACAGAGAGGAGGAGACCTATGGCCCAGATCCCTCCATGATGAGGGAGAACTGCCTGGTTCAGACTACTGAATGGAGCGCCTGCTCTAAGACCTGTGGCCTTGGGATCTCCACCAGGGTCACCAATGATAACCGTGAATGCCGCCTTGAGAAACAGACCCGGCTTTGCATGGTGCGACCCTGCGAGTCACAGCTGGAGCAGAGCATTAGGGTGAGTTTTTGTCAAACTGCAGTGCTCCAATGATCTCTACGGATAAAATACAAGCACTTAAACTGCTGAGGAATGCCTGCTGAAGTTGTTTTTTCTTTCCTTCATTTTCTTCCTGCAGAAAGGGAAAAAATGCATCCGTACTCCCAGACTCTCCAAGCCCATGAAGTTTGAGATCTCTGGCTGCACCACCACCAAGTCCTACAGGCCAAAGTTCTGTGGCGTCTGCCTGGACGGCCGCTGCTGCACCCCCCACAGGACCACCACCCTGCCCATGGAGTTCAAATGCCCCGACGGACAGGTCATGAAGAAGCACATGATGTTCATCAAGTCCTGCGCCTGCCACCACAACTGCCCTGGGGAGAACGACATCTTCGAGTCCATGTATTACAAGAAGATGATGGGAGACATGGCGTGAGCCACTGAAGGACGATCAGAGCTTATGACTTGAAAAAAAAAAAAAAAAACAGAACTCCATCTCATTTTGCAGCTCAGTATATATGTTTTTTCATGTTTTATTTTGTCATTTTCTCATTGTAAAAGTAGTCCAGACACTTGTCTAAGTGTCTGTGTGTTTTGTATGGCTGGTGCACATCAGCCACATTGACTCAGACAGAGGGTTGCATAGCAGCTCCAAGAGATTCCTGCACTATAACTTCTATGTTTGACAAACCTGCTGCCAGGTTTCTTCCCATTCCCCTTGAAATCTTTTTTACAAACCCGTCCATTTTTTGGTATGCATTTTTTATACCTTATCTAAACCTTGACCTCCTCTAAAATAATGAGGTGTCTAATAACTCCCTCCACCCACCGAGCCCAGACCAGACCTGCAAACTCTAAGCAGCTGAAGAGGGAGCACGCAGACCACAGCAGGCCAGTGTTCCCCTGTCCAAACAGGTCTGAATGTGTCCTTGTGTGTGTGTATGTGAGTGTGTGTTTGTGTTTGTTAGTGCAGGCCTGAATGTCAGCCTTGTCTGTATCTACGCTGTTCACTCTGCTCACAGAGTAGAGGAAAGGTCAGAGTTTCCACCCAGCATGTGGATGAGAAAGAAAGCAGCATGCTGAGTTAAGGGTTAGATATGGAACAGAGTGGGCTTTGCCACGGCACTGAGGAAAAAAAAAAAAAAACAGACGAGTTGACTATTACTGATTCAGGTCAGAAGGAAGAGTCTCTATAGAAACAGAGTGTCTATTTTGTACAAAAATAGAAGAAAAGACTGGAAGAATTGTAATTTCATTCCTTTTTTATTGTTGATGTGTAAATTATGTATATATTTGTACAGTTTAAGTTAATTTAAAAGCCAAATTTGTTCTGTGCTTCGAAATGTATCGATAGTGTATTTTTTGTCAACAGTATTTTTTACTATTTTATTGAGAAGTGTGACAAAAATGTTACATGTTTTACTTTGTAGCGGAAATAAAATGTTATATTTTTTATACAAACACGTGTTCTCTGCTTGTTGTGTCTTTAATTCTGCTGCATGTATCAGATTTACTTAGCTTCAAAACTGTACAACACATATTACATCTGGAAGCTGACATGTCAAAGCATATCTAACACTTTTAACACGTTAGTTACCTGCATGATTTGAGCATCACTTTGTTCAACTTTTCTGACAGTGCAAGTAATAATTAATTATGAACAAAATATTACCACTCATTCACTATGTCAGGTCTGCAGCTGAAGTGAATCATGTGAGGAAAACTGGTTAATCATGAATTAGTTCTCTTTATAATTGAACTCATTAAAATAAACTGTTATCCTGTGATATTCTATGATTCATCCACAACAGTATGTGTTTATGGATGTTTTATTCCCACCACAGGAGCAACATATGAACTCTTCTGAACTTCTTCTTCTTTGACTGAGTATGTTGCTTGGTTATTCTTCATCCCACTTTCATGTGTAATGCTCTACTTCTTCAGTAAACAAGAAGATGTGCGAGTTCAAATACAGCAAACAACTGGAAGGCCATTTTTCCAAATGACCTTTGCCTCCTATCAATTTGTTAGCTGAACTGAGAGTTTTAAATTAAACAGTATTGCTTTTTGTATTTTAAGACAAGATGGAAAAAACAAACCCTGATTCCAAAGAACAAAAAGTCCTAATGTGGCTATGGCTGGCTACGGCACTTTCATATCTCCCTCTCTGACAGTACTGAGAGAGCAGGAAAGAGGAACGAGGCAGGGTAATGTCGCCATCTGGTGGCCTTTTCATTTTGTTGTCATGAAGATCTTGTAACATCTCTAGGCTGTTACAGCATCATCCTCTTTACCCCCATTGCTGTGTAGAACTGTCCGATAGTAGGCTAAACCAAAAAGTCAGACCTGCCAGTAATCTATTTAATCTGTTCTTCTTCTTCCTTCTCTTTGTCAACCATTTTCATAATGTGTTCAATTTGCTGTTTATAATGAATGTGTAACACAAAACCACCTTCAAATACCTGTTTTCTTTTTTAACAGTGTTTAGTTTACAGTATCATGCAGGTAAAAACTTGATAAGTTATATTTTTTTCTCATGGTATTGAGGCTTTTTAAAACTCTGTAGTTGCATGTATTGTTGCCTGATCACACAGACTTAAACAGTTTCAGATTTCAGTTGTGTTCACAGCAGCCGTGTCTATTTAAACTGCCTGAGAATTTTTTTTTTTTTTTTTTACATTTTCAGTTTCTCCTCTGCCCACGTGTTTCTTTCCTTTCAATCCATTTACTTACTTTATTTCTACCTTTGCTCAAGAGCTCTTAACATATTGCTGTGTGGCAAAGCCAGTTAACCCTGCGCAGTACGATTCAAATCTACACTGGCTATATTCCTTCTGAATAGTAACAACCACAGAATAATGTAGATGCCAAAACCAAGGGTTAAAATGTTGTCGTCTTCGAATTGAATAACAGTATAAACAGATTGTGTGTCAGGGTGATGATTCATGTTCTCAGCTTCATCGCCCACAGACACAAATAAGTTCAGACTGAAACTATAGCGTAAATGAATGTCTCTGTACAGTGAGAAGTGAGGTTCACTGTGGACTGTGTGAGTAAAAATACAGTATAGTGTATATAAACATATTATACAGTACTGAATGAATCTTCACTCTGGTAATCCACTTGTCTCTACCAATTTCATTTCAATTGAATTAGATGCCATGTGAAACAAATGATCATTTGAACCAGTCAAACATCTAATAAGATACCTACACACCTATACATTTGTTAGTATGCATTTTATTGCATCAATTTTATTATGTACATATTTATTCTATCTTAGAGGCATTAAAAGGGTTTACCAAACAGAGATTTCCAGATTAAATTTATTTGTTTTCTTACATAAATTTCATACAGTGTCAGATTACAATCCAGCCATTTATCTGCTAAAAATGTTCATTTATTGCCTTGGCTTGATTAGAGTCAACTGTACCTATAATAATAAGTAAGCATGTATTCTTCTTCCTTATAAGTAAGTAAGCATCTCAGAAAGAGCTTTGTACATGTGTACATGCCGTCACTGTACAACCTCACCTTGTTGGTGTGTGTATACCTGGATCTGCCCCAACCTTTCACATAAATCAATGTGCAGTGTTAAAATAATCTGAAAAGCAGACGAGACACATTTGCAGAAAGACAGAGATGATTGTCAGAGAAAATTAAGGAAAACAAGCTTTCAACCTTCACTGACAGAGAGATTTTTCCGTTGGGAGCCTGGCTGAATGCACTGAATAATATATGCACATGTTTGAATGCACAGAGCTGGTGCAGTTGTATGTTTTAGTATGCATGTCTAGTTGCAATGTGCATCTACTGTTTTGCTACTCTATGTGAGGGACAGAATGTCACAAGGGAGGCTGCAGCAGTGTGGCGCAAGTGGGCATCCTCAAGAAAAATAGCAAAAGATAAAAACTTGTCACATATTCACACGCTCTATCTGTGGAAACCAGGCAGCTGGTAAAGCGGAGGAGGACGAGGAGGCAGAGGAGGTTGCCGTGTCAACTTTGTACCAGTCTCTCTCTCTCTCTCAGCCGCGCCGCAGCTCATTGAGTTTCTGGGCAACGTTTTCAAGCTCCGACTCGATGGCTGCCAGGCTTTCAATCTCTGGCTCCTGCAGAGACAATGGGAGGACGGCATGTGGGAAAAAGATACAGCATGTGATATACAGTATACTATATGAAACTTTTCATGCACAGCAACTTTAAAAACATCAGAACATAACTAGCGTCCATGTTTTTTTCTGGTTGTTAACAAGACATTATCATGACCTAACTTGCCTCTTTTAGCCTCATTGTTACAACAAATGTATAACAGTTTACCACAATCAAGGCTATCACAGTGAAAATAACTTCGCTGAAAATCCTGAAGGGCAGCAACTGTGCCATTTTGTATCTTCACAGGATTCGAGCTGTAGGATGAGCTCAGATTTTAACAGCACAATACAAAATTCTCACTCTGTGTTTTGGCCCCTGTGAGCTAGCAAAACTATTAGCGGTTACATGTTATATGTCTGTTTAATCTGTATAAAAACTGTATGTTTTATGTGCCAGACTATTTATTGTTCATATGGGTGCAGTGTTTTGTTACTTTGGACAGAGCCATGCTAGTTGTTTCCCTCTGTTTCCAGTCCTTATGCTAAGCTAAGCTAATTGGCTGTTGTCTATCACTTCAAATTCTACAGATACACATGAGAGTGGTATCAATCTTCTCATCCAACTCTGAGCAAGATGAAACCAAGCCTATTTCCCAAAATGTTGAACTATTCCTTTAAACCTTGTGATCTCTGTCTCTTTTATGTCCCACTTAAATGTTGGAAGATAAAAGGAGAGGGAAGCTCACCTCTGCCTTTCTACTGGCACTCCCCTCTTCCTCCGACACCCTCCTCTCCTCTGGTCCCCTCCTGGCGATCATCTGGAGCTCCTTCTCCTCTGGACTCCTCTGCGTGTCTCTCTTCTTCTTCTTCTCCTCCTCCTCGTCCTCAGTGACCTCCTTTGAATGATGTGGCACTTCCTCCTGCTGACCGTTGAGCTGCTGCACCTCCTTTCCGTCTGCTTTTCTCTTCAGTTGCAAACCCTTGCCCCTCTTGGTCCATCTCTTTAGGCTCTCCCTGCTCCCTCTCTTCATCTCCCCTTCCTCCCCCTGCTGCCCTTCTTGTTTGTGTGAGAAAAGTGCAGACCTCTTCTTTTCCTCCTCCTCCTCCTCCTCCTCTTCTTCATCAAACTTCTTCTCTTTTGATTTGTTTCTGGAATCATCTCTCTTTTCATCAGATCCAGCACCTGGGAATGAAAAATAAAAAAATGGGGGCTTATTTTTTTGTCTGTTTTCTTACTGAAACACATCTACCAGACCACCGGCAACGCACTCTCCAACATCAGCAAGATTTCACTTCTTTTAATGAAATACTTCTTGCCAGCTGGCAGCTCGGCCCCCAGTACTGCTAGCTGTGCTTTATGGGAATTAACAGCATGGCAGGAGCAATCAGATGACTTGGCCGAGGTTCCCTTTTTGTAGAACAGGTATGCATATTTCATTGTACTTGTACTTTGCCATTTTATGTCAGAAAAAAAAAATTTCTCTGTTAATCTGTTGAAAGGTTAGGAGATAAAAAGAGATAAATCTTGACTGCAGGTTTGATCTGAGGATGGTTTTAGAGATGATGGCGAATGATTCCAGCTGTAACCAATGCACAGCAGCTCATTGAAATTCCAGTACATGGAGATATTTAATCACCTCTGTTAGTTTGCTGTCACTATGCCAGCCATTTTGGCCTCCCTCCCCTGTGGGGGGGGGCTGAAATTCATCATGTAGATGGAAGCACTTCCATCAATCACCCAGCCCTGTGGCCGTGGTGGCAGGCGGTTTCATCTACAAGGCAGTTCTTCTGCACTTTGCCTATCTTAAGATGCAGCTATCTGCATTTGGTCAACATCCGTCAGCCTTTTCATTTGCTTGGATGTCCTTTATTTCTTGAGGAAAAATAAATCAGACTTGACTGAACTCTTAAAAAAAATCAAGATCTAAACTTGAATTTGCATGTTTCCTGTCGTCTTTTTAGCTTTGTACCTGTTTTTGCATTTGGTGATTTTAAATTGAAAGTAACAGTTCAGTGACACAGAAAAGACAGAAATATGTACTTACCTTTCTTATCCTTGTTTCCCTCCTCTGAATTCTCCTCTGAATTAGCTCTCTTCGCGTCATATTCTTCTTCCTCTTCTTCCTCCTCCCTCTTTTCAGCCTTGCCCTTATTCCACTCATCCACAGACTCAGAGACGGGACTTCCTGTGCTCTCGTCATCTCGCCTCTTCACCTGCACCTCTTCAGTGATGTCATTGTCCTCCCGAGACTCTCCATCTCTCCGGCTCTCATCCTTTTCGCCCTCTCCATCCCCATTTCCCGTCCTCCTCGTCTGCAAGAGGATGGATCTTTCACCGGGGCCTCCTAAAGCCTCTAACATGGATCGATCTAAAAATGGGGAGCAGTAGAAATTTAATTCACTGGAAGAAATTGATTTTCCAGTGTTGTTAAAGGAGGGTGCTTACACAGAAGCACTACAGGTTATTACAGGGGTCATTTAGTGCTATAACTATCAGATTTGTGTGTTTTTGCTCAGTGGAGTTGGGTCAGTATGTCAGATTTTAGTTAGTTCATTAGCTAATTGATGAAAAAAGAAGCTATTTTGATCAATTTTTTTAAACATAATTTTTCAATCAAAATGCCAAATATTTGACAGCTCCATCTTCTCTTTGTTTTTACTGCTGCTACTGTTTTGTATTATTGTAAAGAGAATATCTTTTAATTTTGGAGAGTTAGTTTGACAATGGAGGGAGGAAGATGGAAATATCGTCATGAGCTCTGGCAAATTCTTATGGCCTTTTTTTTTAATTACTGTTGAAAATTTTTTAGACCAAACAATTATTCAAATTGTCAACAGATTAATCACTAATGGTTGGTTGAAACTCTAACTTATATTGGTAAAGCTACTAAAGTGTGTGTTAACATCAGTTGACATTAGCTGGAGACAGCTCTAGGTGAGCACAGGAATGAAGTTTGCAGCACTGAATTTGCAGCGTTTCTTCTAGACTGGTAAGTAAGCAGCTGCTAATAAACACTGGCTATATAGCAATAGCAAAACTTAAAAATAGCTCCTTTAAATATACATTTTTAAGTATATGTTGCCATTTACTTAAAATGTTGTCAAATGTAATAATGAATTACATTAATTACATTGCATAATGCACTGTTAAGTCAAATAACTTAATACTGTGCAAAGGCAAATAAGATAGAAAGATTCAGTCCATTTAAATTGTTGCATTGTTTACTGCATGTGTTCATCGTTTCATTTGCATTTACCTCTGATGTTTGAGACAAACTTATATACAAGTTGCAGCAATGTCATTTTTAAGTCTGCACCTCAGGGAACATACAGCAGATCAGAGTTAGTAGAAATGCACCTTAGCAAACAGAATTTTTTTTTTGTCATTACTGTTCTTGTTCTCCTCTTGCTACTTGTACACTGTGCTTCACTGACTTAAAAAAAAACACCCAGGTGTGCTGTCAGGTGGAAGGACCTCAGTATGTATGACCTGATTCTGTCCACAGGAAGCGTCAGCAGGGTTTACATTCACCTCAGCACTTCTCCACTGTTTGTCAGCCCTGCTTTGCTGACAACAGAAAATGGCGAATAATGAAAGTACTTCATCATTTTGACAGTCGGTGCATTTTAATATGTTGATTATGTATTCCTCTGAATGGAACCAACTGAAATTTTGTTGGTCTGAAATAAACTGCATAACAATGCAGCACAGTGTGACTGCACTTGACTCTCCCAGTCCGTTTCCCATGCATCAGAGCTACTGAAGACACTCACCGGCGATGTCATCTGTAGTCTGAGGAGTTTGTGTCATTGTGTCAGGTCTAGCGGCGTCTCTTTGCAGCTGAGCTGTCTCTTGGCCACCTAAGATTAAAATGTGTTATTCAAGCTTACTGCCTGCGCCACCTGTCTTGTCTTCATACACATGTAAACAAGCATGCTCAGCACGCAGACATCAGCTGCCTGCGATCTGTGACTCACCTTGAAGAGCGATCTCCTGTAGCTCCTTCAGAAAGTTATGATGGCGAAGGATCGTAACAAGCCTGTCATCTGCGCGCACACACACACACACACACACACACACACACACACAAACACACAAAAACACACATTGAAATGCATGCAAATGACAGAAAGAAAGGAGAAGACAAAGACAATAAAGTGAACCTGCAGGGAGGGATGAGGGTAAAAACACAGGTGTATGTCATTCCCCTTCACTTTTTCACAAGGCTCAGCAGTTTGCTTCACTGGTTCATCGGAGTTAATTGCCCTGAAATTTACTGCTTTCAAAGCAAGAGCACAATTAATCATTTGGCCCACAGAGACTCCCCCAGTGAATTACAGCAGCAAAAAGGACTGGACTTTCTGCTGACCCACAAACGGCACCATATACTGTACGCAGCAAGCACAAAAAAGAGATAACTACTGTACTGTAGTGCTCTGATATCAGTCAGTGATCATTCTTTTTCCTTTCCTCACATCTCTCTCTGTGACTCCCCCCTTTCTCTTCCTCTCTTTCCGTCCCTCTGGTGGTGTGCAGTTTCCCTCTCCCTCGGTAACAAATGCTCGGCGAGTAACGCTTTTATTGATTTTTTACAACAAGGACAGCATCAAGGTAATACCCTGTCTATGTAACTGAATAGTCTTTACTGAGTGCTAGTGACCCCCGCTGTATATAACTCTCTGCAGCGTTTTTTTTTACCCAGCAGACACTGCATCAATCCATTAACCTTATGATGTGGGCACCGTGCACTCACCATGCAAAAGGAGAGAGAGCATACTGGGTCGCTAGAAACAGTTTTCAGTCAACACAAAGTCAGCTGTAAGTAAACAAGCTGCCAAGCCCTAATTAGTAGGAGCATGGTGATGATAATGACGGAGATTATCATAATGAAGCTGAACTTATGCATAACTCAAAGCCTCATTTTTTTTGTTCTATATAAAATGTTGTAAAGAAGAAACTTGACCAAACTCCCTGTGCTTGGGTTGCAGACTTTTACAAATCTTTTTTAGGTTCACATTAAAGTAAAGGATTACTTCATTGACTGACTGATTGATTATTGACTGTTTACATACCAAATACAAAATGACACCCTAAAAAAGAATGTTCCCGGTGATGGGATTCACATGCAGCAGCACATTTCTGAAAAATGAATCAAGGTTAGATATGCCATCTTTTTTTAAAGATTTTCTTTTTTTTTGAATGGAATAAATTGAATATGCTCAAGCTGGGTAATAAAGTATATCTGTCAGTTATCAGTGCTGAGACTAGATATCAGCTTGCTGATCATTGTGTTGTAGCTTAAATGTTTTTTTCCTCCTGATTTTAAAGGCTGCATCTCAGATAAGTGACACTGTTGTAGCTGAGTCACATGAATAAAATCATAATCTCCTCATCATGATTGTTTCCCAAACATTTTCTTGCACATAAATACTGAAAATCTCAACAGTCAATAGTCACTGAGGTATTTGTTCAAAAATACTGTGACATTTGATTTTGTAAGAATTCCTTAGCTGGTTGTGAAACAGCAGGACTGTATGGAGGTGACTTAAGTGACATAGGTATATGTTGACATGTGGCTCTATTGTATTAACTTGCTGCACCTGCACAGTCTATGTTTAAAGGATGGAGGAAAAGCACTAGTTGCTTACCTGTCTTCAGTGTGACCAGACACTCCTGACTGACTGGCACAGGGTGGGGCCTTGATAGCACATCTGCCAACGCCTCCACAACACATTTCATCACCTGTGAACAAAGACAGTACACAGAAAGGCTTAAAAACCTCTGCTGTGACAGCTTGATATTTCCCTGATTAGAGCATATATGATGAAAATATCACAGAATCTAGTTGTTCAGCTTTGGGGAGTCAGTGAAAAGCTGCAGGCTGAGGGCTATATCTTCCTCTTGCTTCTCTTTGAACACAGTTCTTGTGCTAACTCGGCCACTAATTCAAAGACATTAAAAAAACTCTTAGATGATAGATCAAAAATCATTTCAACTCCCATTGTGCTTTCCGTGTCAAGCCAATCCCACATGCCTAATAATTTCCACTCATTTTAATATTCTAAGTGCTCTGCCTCTGCCTGCCAGATCTTTAGATGTCACTCTTTAGCACATCATCCACATCTTCCCTTTGTATCCTTAACTCTCCAACCCCAATTCTAGAAACTACTCTCTCTCTCTCTCTCTCTCTCTCTCTCTAAAGATGTGAAATGGATCCAGTAATACCAAATCATGAAGGTCAAGGCTCTCCATTGGTCTCAAAATGGTATCTATTGATTTTAACAAGGTCATACTGAGGTAGCTCCCAGTATAGAAGGTACTTGAATGAGTTAAATTGCTTGGATCAAGTATTTGTCTCTGCTTTGCTGTGTGTGACAAGCCAGGGAAGAAAGACCTGATCCCCTGTAATGAGGCAGTATTTAGTACATCTCATCAATGTGAATGTTCTTCTGGTAAAGATTCAACTACAGCAGGTGACTGGTGGTGTGTACTGCTATTTCTACTACAGTATTATAATAACACCATTAATACAAAGACAAATGATAACACTAACAGTAATAATTAAAACATGTTACCTTTACGTCCTCATTCTCCAGCTGACCTGAAGTCACTGGCAATGACAGAACTGCAAGAAAAGCAAGAAAAGCAAAATATGTGTCATGCTGTCATTATCTGATCTTTTATCTTATAATCCCTGAGTCTCTCGTGTGTTTCTCACTGTTACTAAAGCACAATGACAGAGTAGCAGGGGACTAAATGTGCCAAAGGTGCAGGTGAATTCTCTCCATCTCTCGCTGTGTGTATCGCTGTCCTTGGTGCTGAACCCGGGCTCTCACATCTCCTCATGCAGATTCCTCTCAACAGAAACACTCCACGGTCATATCAGCTAACTTCACTCAGTGTTTTTTTTGTTTTGTTTTGTTTTTTGTTTTTTTTTCTTACCGCAGTTGGACAGTATTGTCAAAACGAACAGTCCTCTCCCGATCATGTTTGGAAACGAGGCGCGTTAAGCTCTCCAGGAATAGAAAAATAGCGAAGCTTTATTTCAGAAGATGGGATTCTCTCCTCTTTTGAAGAAAGTCCGGCGGGTCACGGACGCATTCTGAACAAAACTCCGCCGCCTTTCGGTATTTCTGGAGAGCTAAATCTTCTGCAGCGTCGGTGGCGCCTCCGTCCTCTCCGGTCTCTCCACCAACACCTCACCGCAACAGCGACCGCTTTTATAGGACGATGTGCAGAAAGGAAGTGACATCATCCTGAGGCAAATGATTACTATTGCACCTGATCATACCTCAGTGGTTGTCAGGGCGTGTACAGGTTCAGAGAACCTTATAGGTATGGAAGTGAGTGGCTCATGTGTGCTATAAAGTCCAAGTTGAGATTTCAGCATTTATTTAACTTTATTTTATTTTATTTTACTATAATCGTATTGGTGTACATGAGACTTGCAAAGCTGGATTCATCAGGGATCTTGCTTATAAAACTGAAAAGAAAATAAAGGATAAAACAAGAAACCTCAATTGTATGACTAAAAATGTCTTTAAAAATTTAATCAAGTACATTTGTGAATAAATGTCTCCATCTCCTTCACATAGGATAGAGGAGATGGGCAGACATGTTTAGTTAGTTATGATTATAATGAAGTGAGAAAGAAAAAACTGTATTAATGTTGTGCCAGGAGTCTGACAACATTACTAGAGTTTGGTTACACAGCTTTAATGAAGGAAGTAAGTGTGAGTTTTCACATTAAACATCAACAAATCACACAAACCTATAGTAATAGGATCATTTCTTAATGTTGAACGTTATTCTGCATTACTTAACTATGTGTTTTGTACACTGGTCATAAAGTGGCAGTCCCAAGTCCCAAAAACTAAACAAAATAAATAATGCATTATTGAGTCATATGTTTTGCAGAACCATCACATAAAGGTCCTTCTATTCATGAGGATCAGATTTATTATTTATGTACAACCAACCTATGGAACATCCTAAAACTGTTTGTTCTCTTTTACCTCATAAGCGGAGAGTCCCAGATGCACATGGGCATATGAGGTCGTTCTCTCTTTTCATTTGTTACTGACACATTCATTAAAAAAACACACACACACACACACACACACACACACACATACACACACCAAGGTGTGGGCTGGACTGTTTGCGGTTTCAAATTTCCTACTGCACCGTCTACTGAGATCCCAAAGATCTCATTATGCTTTCAAAGAGACAATAAAGGCCAATTTGTGTCAGAGCCGATCCATATTTGTCCAGCATAAATCGGCAAAGGCTTTGTTTAAACATGAAGATGGTTTTCTTTGAATGCAATAATAAGGTCATTATGAAATCCAGCAGCTACAAGGGCTGGCTGAAATTCAGCCCGCTGTAACACCCAAGAAAGATGATGGAAAATGGAGATAGGAACATATTTAACATCTTAAAGTGCATGGTTAACTAAAATACATACTGGGTGATAGTGAAGAAAATAAAATCCTCCTTTTATACTCAAGTTTTTTTACCCCTGAAAATGTTTTACTAAATAAACACATTAAAAGGTTCCTCTCCTATTCAAAGTCAGTGTCCAAAAGGTTTTGCCTGCATTGAGACATGTTTACCTTGAAACAGGTTTTAGAAAACCATTCCACTCTATTCCATATAACTCAACCCTACCAAGCTGAGTACATACTGGACGGTTTTCTTTTCCATTCAAGAGCTAAATGAATATTTCTGAGCGAACCAGAGTAGCCCGATATGAGCTTAATATATCTCCCACCTGCCCCTGTAATTATACTAATTAAACAGAGTCAATACATACTGTACTGTACGCTCTGTTTAACCAGAGAGCAGATGAATAGGGAACCCATCTGTTGTGTGATCATATATCACAGCTACCTATGTTGAATGGTGAGATTTTTTGTGTATATGGATAAACAACAATGACTCTGCTGCTCAACATTCAGTTGTATTAAGGGTTTTTGTCCAGTGTGCTCACTGTGGTGTCTTACTTTGCCTCCACTTAGGCTCAGCGCATAATAATGCAGGTACCAGAGGACTGAGAAGATAAAGTGGGCCTGCAGCAGCCTGGAGATCTGAGGAGCAGACGTGTGACTAAACCGTCCCCGGTCTGAAAAGTCACAGCTTTCTAGGAAAGTCTACGGAGGGTAAGACGGACGAAAGCAGTCTTTTCCATCTTTAAATCATTTCTGTGCATGCAGATTGTATGTTCTTGTAAACGAGCTGTTATCCTCCCAGGTACATGAATTTTGATGTGGAAATTGATGCAGTTTGTAATTTTTGTCTTAAAAATGTGAACGTTATCATTTCCAGTTCAACAAAATGACTGAATATAATGCTCTTTGGCAATATCACAAAACTCTGTCTGAAGAACTAAAAGCCTGAAGACGTACTGAGATTGATTGAGTCTCCAAGAAAACACTTTCATAGATTTAACAGACATTCACTTCACTTCTGGGCAAAGTCTAATTAGTTTAATGTTTTATGTATGAATGTATAAATGTCACATGAAAAATTCAAAAATTGATAACTTCTTTTCTTTCTTTTTTTTTTTTGCTAATTACAACATCTGAAATTTATATCAAGTAATACAGTATAGTTAAACTGCACTAGGCAAGACCTTCCCTAGAAAAATACACCTACAGTATATTATTATAATTACATGTGTGGGAGAAACATGAAGATTGTCCCATCCCCACAGTTAGTGTGTGGTTTAACTGATAAATCATCATGATGGATTAAAAATTTAAAAGCAAAATAGAAAACTCTCTGCTAAGAGCAGCAATCTGCTCACCAACAAGGGACTAAAACTCTTCACCACCTCCACCTCCATCCGCCTCTAAAGATTCAATATTTCAGTTGCAGGATTCACTGTCACATTATCTATGGGGTCTTCAGATCTTAAAACTGCAGTAATTTCTCCATGCTGGTATTTGGGGCCACAGACACGCAAAGTTTCAAAGAGTGGCTCACAGACTCTCCTTTGCAGGTGATCGCCTCAACAGTAACCAGTGAAGCAGAGACATGGTTTTAAAAAATAGCTCGGTAAAGTGAAAGCTACAGAAGTCCAAGACGTCCCAAACCCACGAGTAGCGAGAGCAGCAAGATGGCCGCCTGTGATGGAGACTGAAGCGGAGGCTGGCCTGACCTGGATGCAATTGGTCGGGTGAAGATATATGGGTGTTCCTACAGAAGGGACACAGAGAAGAAGGGATGTTATAATTACGGAGACAATTTTCAAAAGCGTGACATGGATTAAACATTAATTTACAATCATCTAGATCATTTTTACAAACGTTTGAAAATCAGCTTGCAACAAATATTTCATTTAGCAGATGAAAACAGATTCTGAAAAGTAGTTGTGGGTGTTTCTAAGATGTTCTGAAAACTGACACAGACACCTCGCATTTACAAGGTGACAGACGATGAACAAACATGCACATACACAGTGAAAATTAAACAGGGTAATTGAGCGAAAACAGTATTAAGAGGTCTGCTGTTAAAAACCTGACTTGAACAGAGAAAGATTTCAAAATAGTCCCTGCTAACAACTGCATTATCGTGGGACAATAATACAACTTCCACCAAACAAAAATGGCAACAAACCGACAACAATCCTTTAGAAAACGCAGCTCTAATCTAGTTTTCCTCAATATAAAACAACACTATCAAGATAGAAGATGGCTTGGTTTGGTTTCGGGTTGAAGACACAGGTCTTACCATCGGTGGACAGATGAGACTGATGGGGTCAGAGAAGCTGCTCACAATCATCTTTCCTCCCTCGGGCTGAAACTGTGAGCAGGAGACAGAGAGAAGAGGAGAAACACAGTGAACTACGCTGATTAATTTCTTTAATACCTGTGATCTACATATACAGTATGTTCTATTATTCATTATATTTCCTCCTTATATGGCATTTCTTCACACAATACATCTCTCTGAGTGGCACCGGGCTGATTGTTGACCTTTAACCTCTTTCCATTCAGTTAAATACAAGCAGTGTTCACCATGTTGTTCCACAGTCCCTTGGCCAGCTCCTCGTGACCCTTTATGGTGAAGTGGAAGCAGTCGTGAGTGAAGAAGGTCATATCGATCTTCCCGTTCTGCTCAGGGAGACAAAAACATAGACTGGTGTAGATTCACTGACAGAGTGTGTTGTTGGTGACCTATGGCGTTATCAAGGCTAAAAGCTACACAGCCTGTCGCTCTCAGGATCGTAAAAGATTCAGTCATCACTGTGTAACGTTTCACACCGGCTGATCTCCTGAAGGCAGACACTTCTACCATGTTGATATTGTTGTGGCTTCTGGAGTGAGACAGATTACCGGGAGGCGGGGAGGGTCAGCGTGTTTGAGAAAGGGCTGGAGAACAACAGCAAAGTCGTCCTTGAAGAAGCGATCGCTGTGCAGCAGCTGCTCAAGTCTTTTCTAGAGATGGACGCAAAATTAAAATCACATCATCTGCCAATTTTTCTGACTCTTAGTGTATTAATAAGAGCAAACCAATTACATGCAGATAATTGTTAACACGTAATCAATATATGTACATCAATACATGTAATCATCAATTATGTTGTTCCCTATTATGGACAAAATGCACCTTTAATAAAGTGAGAGGTATCAACTGTACCTGGAACTCCAGATTGACCTCTACCAGCTCCCGTAGCTCAGGAGACTTGGCTACTGGCTCTATCAGGCACGAACAGAAAGACCTAAAACGTTGCATAGGGATTTAAAAAATGTATAGAAATGTGAACCAATCAAGATTTGAACTTATATCATTAAGACATAAAAAAATCTAATCATCAGAATGTGCTTGTACTGCAGGGTTTGATTAAATTAAAGAGCCCCTCCAGACAAAAATATCCTCCCTGCAATAATGATTTATGTCTGATTTGGTTTTTCCATATTAATTAATTAAAAGAGAAGAGAAACCTGATGATTGTGAAAACAGCCTTCTAGTGTTTCATTCTGCACATTAAAGGTCAAACATCCAAGTGAAGTAGCAACAAGCAAAACATAATTTCTTAGTTGAGGAGGACCTTTAAGGCTCATGTAAATGTGCATGTTAAGAAAGAGTGGCTCACCGTTGAAGAAGGCACCCTGGGGTGGGCTTCTGCACCTCCCTCAGAGTTTGCATGGGCAGGATCTGAACCACGTTAACGATCATACGAGGAACCTGAAGGACATCATGGAGAGAAGGGTATGCACTAAATGTGACGTGTGCATTCCTGAAGCTAAAAATGGATCCAAAAACAGTATGTCCTTTTTTCTTTTTTCTTTTTTTACCTCATTCATAAGCATTTCCAAGGAGACGGTTATATAGTGAATGAAGTTATCCACTGAAAAAAGAGCCTGGAAAGAATATGGAAATTCTGCAGAGGTTAATTATTTCTATTGAACTAAACTCAGCATTCAAAAGAGAAGCAGGCAGACCTTATCTTTGCAGTAATCACAGATGTCATTCATGCCCATGAGGATGGTCAAAAGCTTCCAGTCCTGCTCGAAGTTCAGGCCCTGAATAAAGGGACAACAGAGGGGCCAGAATGTAGATATGATCCATATAAAACAGTGTTAATAATCAGCTCGCTGCAGGGAAAACAGGGGCATGACTGTACCTCATAACCTCTAAGTGTGTCAATCAAATGTCTCGTCTGGCCTGGGAGATTGCTGGAAGGAAACATCTTCATGAGCATCATTAAAAGATAAAACTGAAAGTTATAACTCACACATTTTTTTAAAGAATATAATTTCCTAGTCGAAGTAGCCTGAAGCCCAAACACAGCTTAAATCAGGATAAACTGTTTTGATGTTACTGGTTGCAAAGTGTGTCAAGGTTTTCAGCTCTCGACATTAAACTGAAATGATCCCTCTGGATAAGCGGGGATGGTTTCATTAGTGTCTGATCACTGCAGGTTGAAAACAGCGATGAGGCCTCACAAGGTGTTTTGTCCGGTCACAGCCAGGTTGAAGCCTGTTTCACTGATATGAGCCTGCATCCCGTGAACCGTCTTGCCGGGAGCCGCACCAACCAGTTTGGGATTGAATAGCTTGATGATATCTAAGACACACAATTGGAAAATAAATAAGTAAAGAACATGAATTGCGTTTTCTCTTTGCTTGACTGTGGAAGAAAATGATGTCAAGAGATGGCCGAGATATCATCTGTGATTAAAACATCTTACTTGCCAAAGTAATGACATCCTGAAAAGACCCATATCCACCGATACTGAAAGATGAGGAAGTGGAGAAGAAAAAAAAAAAAAATTGCATTTGATTTGAAACAATTTTATGTAAAAAGTTACGTATGCTCTATTGTCTGAAAGGTTAAGTTGCATATGAATCATATTATGTGGTGTCTACATGTAGGACCTCTGCAGGTTTTACACATCTGTCACCTCCACGACACATGACGATACTCAATAGGAATCCCGAGGACAGTTGTGGCGTTGGCACCTATGGCCGTCTGCAAAAGGAAAGACACGACATCTAAGAATAACAAAAAGATGATGTGATCGGGATCTAATGAAAGTACAGGCAGCCTAGTTGTGAGTGTGTGCCTCTGCTGCGATCATAAAAAGAGACCAGTGATTACTAATGTGGCTGCACTGCCACTGCAACATTGAGTCATCATGATTGTATTTCTTGTACCTTCTTTTATCCATCCTCCCCCTTGCTTACATTTTAACCTTATTCCACAAATAATCTGTATGTTTCTGCCATCTGCTCAGTAGCAGTAAGCAACTAGGCAAAATGCATGAATGAATAGTGAAACAGTAGATATTTTGTTCTATATTTTATACACTGTATCACCAGTGGAGCTGAGAAAATAGCAACAAATAACACCTACTGTCAGAGAATCCCCCAAGGCAGCGATGACTTTGATATCTGCAACCTTCACAAACTCAACTAAGCAAAAGGAAAGATTGAAAGGGAACGAAGAGGGAGAGAGCGATCAGTCGAATCGAGTGTTTCAACACATACAGTAGGTAACAGTTTGATTTCTGGGTGGCAGACCTGATGAAGGGACAGAGGGAGAGGGACTCATGTCTGGACACTGGAAGGCAGGATGCTTGAAGCTCACCGGTCGAGTTTTCTCAGGAAATTCCTGAAGAAGTAACGAGAGAGGAGAGAGCCAGATCGTAACCAGTTGTATTACTAATTCACTTGTACTGATTAAATTCTTGTCTAATAAGACTCCCAGCTTTACACCAGTCTAACCTGATCCCTGTTTCTTCCTGTTGGGATTCTCTCACACCTTATTTGACTGTACTATTTTTGACTGATTGACCCTTGTTTTGTTTATGTCTTTAGTCTGTTGGCTGTGCTTGTTCTGCACATACTCAGAATACCTGCTGGTCCATGTGGTGTGGCCTGTTGTCAACCCCATGGTGACCTGCCTCTTATCTTAAAGTAGGTTACATATATATCATTTTGTTGTTTTCATGTTTTGTCCAGTTGTGTCTTTTTTTTTCTTCTTTTTTTTTTATAAATCTATGAATCAAGGCCTTTTGGTCAGTTAATTACAAGTTGACCTGGCTGGTTAAATGATCAAGAATAATAAAATCAGCCAGCAAAATAATGTTCTGGAATAAGAATTTGATTTTCAATACTATCCATTGTTTAACAGTAACATTTTTATGTTGAGATAAAACCAGGTGGAAACAGTACCTTGTTGAGGGCCTCCTTGCTGTAGTGTCGTATCCCCTCCTCATACTCAAACCACCAGTCGTCGCCTTAGAGAGAAGAATAATTTCCAAAGTGTCCATTTGTTTATCACTTGTTCATCTATTAAACAAGTAGTTTTCCTTTAACACAATCATTTACAGCACAAAACAGGCTCTCAACCAGCCAGCACGCTGGTCGTAGACATTTGTTCTAAATCTAAATGTTTATTTGAAAGCAAATCTTAACACAATGTGAAACACAGCCTGAAAAAAAGGGCCCCGTTTCAGAGGCACACTGCCCCACGTGTGCTCTGCCCTCCTGCTTGTTCTAGCACTTACCTTTGACAGAGCAGGACACGAGCACACATGTTGCCACGGCGATCCAAAGCCACTCCATAGTAGTGCGTATGGGCCAGTCAATGGGACACCCCTACAGACTGCACAATGTGATGCTCAGTTTTTACAGCACTGTCACGTAGTCTCACCCACCCTCTAAAGCTGAGTGACAAGCTGCGGGTCCAGTAACAGCCTTTCTGACTGTTCAGTCAACGTCAGCAGCACAACACCTCATCTTATGGTTGGCTTTTACGGCCCATTGGGCTACAATCACTCACTGTACTGATAGCCACATCTCTTCATGTTTCATGTATTGCAAGGAGTTTAACCTACAAATACCTGTTGATATTGACATTTTAACAAAAAGGAAAAAATTCTCAAGTCAAATTAACATTAACAACCATTAAATATCCATATATCATTTATTCATTTCTTTATAAACTTGTATTTGCGATGGTAAAAATGCAGTCTTCGATAATCTTCACCAGTGTTTCAGTTTGGAGAGTTATGTGGGTATCAATACATGAACGTCAATGCCATTCAAACAGTTTGGAATCATTTCTTATTGTCCAGCAAATAACATTTTACTGTCCTTTTTGACTTCATACACGTCATGCAGATGTTTTGGCAGGTAAATTCTCGATAACAACAAGCACACACTGCGGAACTGAACAAATGGACTTTAACAGCATGTACGTTTCTGATCTAGTTTGGAGAAATACTGTATGGCCTAACCATGGCTTCATTTGTTTCCCATTTCAGGCTCAGATTTAGGTCCATCTGAGCTGAACAGCGTAGGCAGAGCGCAAGGCTGCAACTTGGACTTTGGTGAGGGGGTGGAAATTCTCACAACAGCTGAAGTTGGGTAACCAAAAGAAAAAAAAAAAAAAAAAAAAGGTTCCTTCCTCTAATGTAGAAACAATCCAACAATCCAGAGTTTGAGGCGCTGCTATCTTTAAGGCTGGTCCAATTTCTGCCTCAGCTAACACAAGGCTTAATGAACTAAAGAAAAAAGGCAGGGGGGACTATTACGCTACCTTCCAAAAATCAACAAATCAAAGCATGTTGATGGAGAGATCACCCCAATGTACAGCACACCTTCACTACTGTTTCTCTGGTTCTTTCACTAGGCTGTATACATCTGCTTTTCTCACATTTGCTTTTTAGGATGAATTTTGAAAACAGCTGTGCACTCTGCTTTCACTCTTGAGAGTGAAAGACGTCTGTATGAATTTTAAACAGGATCTGCATCAGGGATTTTGGTGACAGCTGAGTTTTGACTTCCGCAGCTTCTCAATCTCTCTAGATATCTGCCACGTTGAAAACACGAAACATCAACCTGTGTGCTTAAAATTAAATAATTTATCAAACAAGCATCCAGACCAGCTTTTCTATGGATCACCACTTGACATATTTCTTGTTCTTAAACTGATGACATAACATGGCTTTAGTACATTTTAGCACTGTCACTAATGCTGAATGAACAAAAACTCTTTCTCTGTGAATCGCAGGTATGCAAAAGGTACTGACTTGACAACATGTCAATTAAACATATAACTAATGAATGCAAAATTGCAATGTGAAAATTAATGCAAAACTTGTTCACTCACTGGGTGTATGAAAAAAGTCAGCAAAACATGCAAAAACATGACTTCTTTTAGCAACTAGACCGGGGCTAGCAAATAAAATTATCTTAGTTCACAATTTCCTGATTTTTTTTCTAAATACTGCGCAAAATTAGGACATAAGCACTTCAACTGAGTGTAATTTTCTCAAAAAAAGGGACGTGAGAAGAAACTAATGCACATATCAGATTCCAACTATGTTGACCAAAATGTCTTTGATCTGGCACCTGCAAGACTATTTCCATGGTGAGGACACAGGTGCTTCTGGCAGTATCCTGAGTCACAGACTAACAAGTCCCAAGTCTGTGTTATCCTCTCAGCCCTCTGTTCTGTCCATAAACACCTTCACTGTCTTGCTCTAAGGACCAGCATATTTTAAATGGAGAAAGGGAGTTGTGAGACTGAGCAGTTCAGCAGCCAGCTTAGTCTCTCTTTATGTGGAGGGGAGCAGGCAGAGTGGGAGCGGTGCCTAAACTAGCAGGTATTCAGCTAGTGAGCACTAGCTGCCCCCCGCAGTGGGTTGGCGCAGCCTCTGTCTGTCTATTCCTGCCCTCACTCCGTCTGGCTTGCTCTCACTGCTGCTCCTCTTCCTCCTGGGCCGGCTCCTGGGCTTCTGTTTCACCCTGACCCTGGGTCTCGGCCTGGGCTTGTGGCTGTTCCTGAGGTGGTCTAGGGGGGGGTGCCGGGGCAGGGGCAGGCGGACGAGGTGGCACTATGATTTGGTGTTGGCGCTGTCGGTAAGCGATGACTGTGCCTAAGAGCAGGGCGATGACAGTCATAAGGTAGAGGTCCCACTCTGGGCCCAGAAGCTGGTCCAGGTCCACCTGAGAAACCAGCTCCTTCAACTGAGAGGAGCCACAACCAAATGGTGAGAGAATGAAGGACAAAGACACATCTGATTAATTTCAGTTCCTTCAAATGAAGAAGCTTTTAACTGGTCTGAATTATAGTTCTGAGTCTCCATTTCAAAGCCAAATTGACACTGATCCAGCTAGAGAATTTAGGAGGAAACACTTACATTAAGATCCTGCATATACTGTAGCGTGTAAATCAGGCCCAGCTTGCACAGGGCCAGGAAAACTGGGACCTGGGCATCAGGACTGGCTTCAGCGGCCATGTCGTAGAATCGCTTTGCTAAATGGATGTCCTGCAGAAAACAAATGGAACATTTCAGAATTACACATCTGTCTGTCCATCATTAAATTTGATATCTACATTTACTATACTCTGCATTTATAAAGCAACGTGACGTGTAGTGTAAATAAATGTAATGTTGAGAGTCATCGGTGAAACTCTATGCTTACCTGTTTGATGCCCAGGCCTTTCTCATGCATGTAACCCAGGTTGAACATGGCCTGGGCGCTGTGCTGCTGCTCTGATGCCAGTCGGTAGTGGATGACAGCTGTCTCATAGTCCACATCTGTGCCATAGCCATAGAAGTGATAGTCCCCTAGTTTTATCCTTGCCACAGTGTAACCTGGGAAAGACAATAATAGTAATAGTAATAATAGACTGTCTTCTCTCCCAGGGTAAGGTTTCCTTTATGTAAATCAATCACAGATGGAGAAAGAAGAAAGGCTAAGTGCTAAAAGTAAATCCAGCACAGATGTAAAAGGGAGGAGGAACAGAGTGTGTATGGACTCACCTTGTGCTGCAGCTCTTGTCCAGTGGAGCAAAGCGCGTGGGTATGTCTCATTCTCACTGAAGATCTTCGCCCCTTCTGTTTGTTACATTCCAAACAAAGACCAAAAAGTACTTTGAAAAATGTGCATAATAAGACACAGAGGCATTCTTTGCCACATTTGTTTCACTAAAATCAATCTTGCTATTGTTTAACAAGAAGCTAACCAACTGTGATTAAACTAAAGGCAAAGACTAACTTGATTAATGTGAATGGTTCCAGTAGCATTTGGTTAATTTGAAGAGAATAAGTGTAAACATTATTTATAGAACATATTTGTTGTTAGATCATCAACTGGCCACACAGCAGAACAGGGAGCTAGACACACACACAGGTAACAGGTTTTCACGGGGTCAGAGGGTTTGCTAGAAGTGATGCTAAGGCTACAAAGAGGTTTTTGTTAAATAAACTGTTTTATGGCATTTGAACCTGATTTGCTTTTCATTTAAACACACTTCCTTTCCTTCCTGCCATGATGCTAAAGTCATTGTTTCTCTTACTCTGGTCCAGAATGAAGGCCACGTTGCTTTGGGCCACCTCGTAGCCCTGCTCAGCCAGCAGCAGATACTGCACCAGCGCAGCATCTGTCTCTCCCTCCTTAAAGCTGCCGTAGGCCGTCATCAGACGCTCTGACCAGCGACCGCGCTCACACACGTTCTTGAAAAGCTGCAGCAAAGATATAGGCACACAGTGTGACACACCAGACAGTCACACACAACTATGTCATTGTAGCTGTTTCTAAGGTTTGTGACTTTTAAATTGTATCACTTTCCATCTTGCAATACCATACATGAGTGTAAATGACGACCACTAGAAGACTAGAATGAATGATAACTGTTCAACTCAAATGAGGAGCTACATAATTGGCAGAATATAGGCTTCGATGGATGAATAACTGCTGAAACACAGCACAGATGCTCTCAGTCCCTCCTCGTTTCAACATAACAAAGAGAATGGAGCAGCGACAGCAGGGTGGCTCACCTCCACAGCAGTGTGGCAGGAGCGCATCACACCAGTACCGGTGGCGTGCATCTGAGCCAAGTTGTAAAAGGCCAGGATGTGGCCTGACTGTGAGGCCAAGTTGAAGAACTTGAGTGCCTGTTTATAATCACGCTTCACACCAATGCCATCTGGGGAACAAGAGGAAGAAGAGAGAGAGAGAGAGAGAGAGAGAGAGAGAGAGACAGAGACAGAGAGAGAAAAACAACCAATTACATGAAAGAGAAAAGAAGTATTATAGTCACCAGAAATAAAAAACGATGTGGGAGAGTAAAATTATTCAAATCTTTAGATATAAACACGTATACTCATTCACACTAAGCCCTCAACACTCACTGTAATACATGGTGCCCAGCTGGAGTTGTCCGTCCACCCAGCCCTGCTCTGCTGCCTTCTGGAAGTATTTCAGTGCCAGCTCATAGTTCTGAAGACACAAACACACAACTTTCAAACGGCTGCTCTCATTTCAGCATCAGCGTTACAAAGCGAAAGCCTCATAAACTAAACTACTGAGATTTAAATTTTCACCTATGTCTATTGTCAGTGCCAAAAACTGTGGCTGTCAGCTTAGCAAAAGAAAACCAGCTGAAAACTAAAATGAGTCACGCTGGGTTTCTTATGTTAATGTACAGATAATATCAAAATGATTATAACATGTAAAAAGGTTCCTCACCACTGTGACACCTCTTCCATACAGATAGGCCATGCCCAGGCCACTTTGTCCCACTGGATTACCCTGAGTGAAGAAAAGGAGCGTGTCAAAGCAAATACTGACGGTGAGTGACAGCTGAATAACACCTGTCACCTGTGCAGTAACAGACACCTGCTCCTCTCCAGAGAGCTGTTTTCTTTCAAAGCGTAACTGCAGTAATGCTACATACATAAAGACATCATTCTACAGCTTCATTCTTACCAAGTCTGAAGCTTTCTTGAAGTACTGCAGGGCCGTCTCGTTATTCTGAGGGAGAAACTCACTGCCCTCTGAGTACATCTGAGGGACAGAAGGAGTCACAGCAATGAAAAACTTGATGTAACGCCTCAAATACAAGTGCACTGTGCCGCCCACTGTTAAAACACCAATGCCAAATTATTGGCCTTATTTATTTTGGATTGAATTTAGACTATCCTGCTGCTCTCCAACTATCTGACTGATTCTCCCAAGTTCTCACACTGTAAAGGCTACATATTTATAATGTTTGCAAACACAGAAGTGAAACAGACGGGTAAAAAGAAATCTAGGCTCTTTAAAAATCTATTTGAATATTATCAAATAGATACTTTGACAGAAAAGGACAATTTACAGCAACTATATTGGTCAGTGTAAGACAAAAAAAGAAAAGGTGTATTCAGTGAAATTGCAGAATTAACAGACAAATACATTCAACCTCATCTCACCCACCTTGCCAAGAAAAGCCATAGCGTGTGTATTGCCTGCATTTGCAGCCTGGGTGAAGTAGTCATACGCCCTCTGTTGGAGAGTGAACATCAGAAATACATTTACTGCTGCAAAAACAACCACGAGAATAATTCAAAGCCATTTTTAAAAAATGTTACCTGGTGATTTTGTTCAACTCCACGTCCTCCATGCAGGTGAAGCTGACCCAATCCCACCTGAAATGGGAAAAAAAATTGCTTAGTTAACTTTGTGGTACAATAAAAAATGTTAAAACTATCACCTTGTAGACGGACTAGTTTACAATCAAAAACAATTACCATTAATACTGAAAATACTTATTTAAATTATGTAAATGTAATAGTTAATAAATTACGCAGATATGTCCATGCATAGAAAAAAGTGTTGACAAATATTTTTAATTCTTACATAATGCTGTGAGCACTGACTGACCGTGAAAGTTTGTCTTTAAACTAAGACATATGTCAACTGTCACAAAAAGCAGCATGATGAGGTCTATTTGACCTGGAACGCACACACTTGTTTGCCACTTTTGTAGCCGTTATCCTTCTTACACTTTCTCTATTGAAATTCTACAAAATTGTGGAATAATATATTTTTTTTAATCCTTTTTTTCTCCCTGGAGAATCCAATTTGGGTATATTTATTAAAATGTGGCATCATCACCCGATAATATCAGGGTATAAATAAATGTTAATTAAGAAAATTTAGCTGCTTGTTGTATTGAACAAAGGACAATGACAACCATCTTACCTGAGCTTGTACATCTCCTTTCTCAGCTAGAAACTGGTAGTACTGGATCAGGTCCTCCTCCAACATCCCGCTGGTGGAGCCCGGGTTCTCCACCTCATCCAGAAGCCTGATCCTCTGGACAGCTGAGCCCCCTGTCAGGGACACATCACTGGCCACTGGAAGAGATGAGAGCAAAAGTGGAGACTTTTAATGAGGTTATGTGTCCAAAAGAATCGAAATATTACACCAGAATATTACATTAAAAAGTTTGTAAGTGCAGCAAATTCTTACCCTGATTTGCCACAAGCCTGTAGTGTGTTAGTGCTGACTCACAGCTCTGAGGAACACCCACACCTCCCCAGTATCTGTATCCCTAGTAAGACAAGAGGAAAAGGCATTTTAATACCTTATAAATAGAGTGATTCTATAACTGATTCTCTGATAGACCAGTGGACTCACCAGAATCATATGAGCAACCAAGTTTCCACCAAGTGCACCAAAGGTGTAGTAAACCAAGGCCTGAAAAACAAAAGATGTAGAGAATATGAGAACAAGTGTTAGAAGAATACTCCAAAGGAGAAAGAAATTGTAAGATATAACAGAATGAAAACGCACCTTAGCTTGACTCGAGTTAACTCCAAGTCCTGCAGCATACAGAAAGCCAAGGGCCTATGGAGAGACAAAGTACAATCTCACCTATTTAATTATTTGAACACAAACAATCTGCATTTTTAATAAAGATGTCAGGTCAAAATGCAACTCAACATCTTTCTCAATTTAAATATTAACATTTTGAATGGGAAATCTACCATCTGAGCTTTGGGTGAGCCCTCCATGGCAAGCCTCTCAAACATTTCCTTGGCCTTGGTGACATTCTGGTTCATGTAATCTCCAAACAGCATGGCGTAGGCCACCTTCTCCATGGCTTTCTGGTGACCCTTCTCTGCTACTTTGAGCAGCTTTTCATATAATCTGAGAGAGCAGTTGGATAAGCAGAGATAACTTAGGTGAAGTGGAAGTGAAGAATAATGTGTACATAACAAACAGTACTGTGACATCTAAAGCAAATAAGGATGTGCTGACCCAAGTCACATGGTAATAAAGCACACATGAAATAGATGTAGCCATCCCAAAACTACATTTACAATCTGATCAAATAGTGTCTGTTAGGTAAAGAAGAAGCTTTTGGCTACATACGATGACTGTTCGGACACAAACGTTACGAAAAAACGAGACATACTCTCACATTCACAAAGCATATTAAAAAGATGTGCCAAGTTTTGAGATATAATATAGTTCATATTGGACATACTGGGAAATCATTAACAGTTGAAGCCTCTAAGACATACTTGAATTCAATGTGCATTTCTTGCATATCTTATTTGTCACAGTCAAGCAAGACCATCTTAAAACCTATTAGGACACTGCACAAACACGCCCTTAAAGTCCTGGACAGGAACTTACGACAGTACCTCCACTGCAATATACTTCTTAAATATAAGATGTTGAGCTTTGACAATTTAATTGTGTATTCAGACGTCCATTTATTGCATAAGATTATTCATAATGGTGCTTCTCCACCGAGTGGAGAAGCAAATGGTCAAGGTCTGCTTCAAGGGGAGACTGCAGTGTCCCTAAATGAGGCGCCGCCTTTGCACAATCTGCTTTTCATCCAAAGCTATTAAAGAATGGAATAAGCTCCCCATGAATCTGAAAGCCTGCACAGGTTTTCATATTTTCTCTCACAAGATCTTACAGAATTTATTTCACATTCTGATGACCTGTTTTTATAACCTCGGATATACAGTATGTATATTATATTTTAATATCTATATTCTGTATTGTGTTTGTTCCTATTAAGTGTGTTATTGTTTGTGTGGTTATGAATTGGATGTTGGCTTATTTGTAGTTGTGATATTAGGTTTTGCTCTGTGTTTTATCGTTTCCTTCACTTGACCAGGGACTTAAGATGGAAATTAGCTAGTCTTAGATGAATGTATTTTGTACATGCTCCCTGATATAAATTTAATCTAAAAGAAAAACAAACATATTTTTCTCAGCTTGTGTGAGCTTACTGTTCTTGCAGCAGTCCTGGTGGTTGAAATAAAACTAGAGTAAAGATCTGCCTTTGTCTGAGCGGTTTGCTCTATCTTACTGCCTCATCCTCACTTTGATCGTGTCTCTCAGTGATGAAACAGTAATTTATTTTTCTTCTTTTTCAGGTTTCAGGATTAAGCTAATTATCAAGTCTGGGGAAAAACTGGGAAGTAAACATTTGCAGATAAAAATATATTTTATATTTGTATTTTTTTTATTTTTCAATTCTTCTCATAACACCATTTGTTATCAACAAACCTAACTGCTTCTTACAACAGTGCAAATGTCTTCAAGCCAAGGGAATAAATCAAAAGGAAGAAACTCACTCTTTCTTCTGCGTCCTCCTGGTGGTGGCATTGAGCATACCCAGGACAGTCTGATACTGCTCCTCAGCCTCCTCCGCCTGCAGTCTCTGCTGTGCCTGCTCTTCCGCTAATGGAAAGAGAGGAGAAGCCAGTAAGAACAAACAGATGAAATAATGGCTTTCAAAACTTTGGCAGCCATGGGGGCCATAACAATTGTGAAAATGAAACCATGATGTGCCATTATACCGGTTTCCATTATCAGTTTCAGTAGCTGTTGACGGTTTTATTTGGCTAGACAAATAATTAACATTAAACTAATTCTATAACAATACATCTATATTTGTTGGCTTTGTGTGACAAAAAGGCCTGCAATACTTAAATGTTCAGCCAACCATTTTAGCAAATGCACCACTGTTTAAGGCAGCTGGATGACTGCATTTTAACTTCAAAATACAACACCTCATTAAAGTCAAGGCCCTAAATTGAAGACTTACTCTCACAGAAACCCCACTTTTTCTCCTGGTCATAGTCGTAGGTTGTTGCGCACCACAGCCGTCCATCCCCCCGTCCATCAGTGGTACAGTCTGAGTACTCCCTCCCCTGGAAGAGGAATGGGAAGATGCAGGGTTCCCCATGGGCTGTACCTCCATTCACCACAGGAACTGTATAAAAAAAGCACAATATTATTATAATGATAATAAATCAAAATAATGTTGTAAAAATACCTGGCTGTAATATATTAACATATAGAAAATTTGTCACTATGTAAATAAGTTACCAAGTCTCTCTTTCTTCTACAAGTCTTCATATTAAAACATTAAAAAAATTAATTTCAATACATTTCCGTAAATTTTGATCTTTATATTATGATCAATACTACAATTGTGCAAGATGCCTGTAGGAGAACAGTTAACAATCCCCAAGTAAAATGATGCAACTGACTGCAAGAGAAGTCACAGGTGCAAGGCGCTGTTGATTTCTCATGGGGTTTAACTGTTTAGCCAATCTGGCATTGCCCTGAAACCACACACGCCTTTGCTTGGAGTCAGCAATACTAAAAACAGGTTAATGTGTCGACTCAACTAAACTTAGAAAGAAAAAAAAAAAACAGGGTAGTCTTCATTCTCAAAAACAGATGACATCAAGATTAAGACTGAGGAGTCAATAAACCTACTGACAGGCTATCACTGCTACAGACCAGTAACATTAGCCAGAGATGCTTATAAAAGAGCTTACATGTTATCATAGGGTCACACAAAAGGTCCTTGAAATATACCACTAAAACACTTAACACGCTGAGGAGAATCTTAAGGTGTTATGGTTCAGTAACTGGTATGTAACATTAAAACAAAAATGAAATCACAAGGATCAGCTGTTAAGTTTGTACCTGCAAATTCCAAGCCTCGACTTCAAGTCTGACTTCATCACAGAGGTATAACCACAGTTATGCACAGTGGTTCATCAAACCCTTGTTAAGCACAGCTATTAACCCTTACAGTGTCAACTGAAATGAAAACAACTGAAATGATCTGCTGTCATAATCATGACACAGTATAAGCAGAGGTAATATGGCATGGCCAGAGAAAGTTTTCTAGAGTAAAGTCTCAAAGGCATCGCACTGCTCCATCAATCTAAATCTCTTTAAGCTGGACAGGTAAAAACACTGTACTCAAAAGTCAGCCTGTGAACACTGACAGAAGATATGCCAGTTTACAATCTCAGTCTCACACAGACATCCGGAGCTAGACATCTACATAAGCTAAAAAAACAAAACAAACCATGGCCAGAAAGAGTGTATGTTCAGTCATTAAAACAGAGAGGTACAACAACTCAATTTATAACATTCAATTAATAAAAATCAAAAATAAGACAAGGATTGTGTGTGCATGCTCAAAGTTAACAGGCGACACAATGCTTATGCCGTAGTTCTATTGCCTGGCTGCACTACAAGCGTTCCTTACAGCTGAATATTTGAGTACAAATTTTTGTCTTTACCCTCTTTAGGTTTCTCCTCAATAGGAGGAGGCTGTTCAGGCAGGTCCTCCTTCATCTCTCCCTCCAGTCCATCTCCAGGTGACTGTTTCTCCTCTTCTGGCTGAGAGACTTCATGACCAGAGTTCACACCTGCTGCAATTACTGATGCCAGATGGACATCTTCTTCATCATCTGGGTCATGGTAAGACTGCAAAGATAAACACAAGGTTATTGTAAGGGAACAGCTTAAATGAAGTGATCATATTGCATATTAACACTGATTGAATACAGTTCGTAATAAGATTATTTGTAAACTTAATAGTGATTTCTATCTCCCAAAAACTTGCAACACTGCTATCTGCTCACTCTAAAATGTCTGATTTACTGAATTAGAAAAAGTTAAACACAACAGCAACATGTTGATTCCCTCTTACCTGTTAAACAGCCAATTTGGGCTGAAAAAACTTTTCCTACAGTTTTTTTTAGCCTGGACAAGATGGACCTTTGCTCTTTCACACAAATAGTTTATGATTAACAATGCCTGTCTGCCAATAACTTGGATAGGATTAAATAAATCCATACTAACAACATCATAATATCAACATATCATAAACCTCTGGAATAACACACAAGGCAAGGCAGGTGCAACCCATAAGAGACATTGGGTGGTAGATGCCACTAGCCGTTTCTATGGAGGTCTATTTTGTTATTCATCTGCACTTATAAATTCTAAATCAAGTCAGTCATCCTCAGGGTTTGATATCCTAACTGGAAGACCAACATCAAATAGCTATGACGTACCTTCAGCTCTGGTCGGTCATTCCCTTGTTGCTCTTCATCTGAAAAGTATTAATATTGCAGCAATAAAGACACTGTTATCTTGAGATGGGCGAAGCTGTTCTCAGAACTTAAACAGCTGCTTGCAATAGTATTACAAACGTAACGTTATAGCAACTTCTGTCTGCGCAGATATTAGCCAGTAATACCGCATAAATGAGGTACTTACCAGATGTTATTCCTTTAATGAAGACTATCAGGAGAATGGTCATAAAATAAACTGTTCTCGTCGTCTTCAAACACCTCTTGAAGCCCATTGCTGTTGTTGACAAGCTAACAATCTGCTAGCTGTAGTTGCTGCTATTTCTATCACCAAACATTCAGGTACAGTTGAGTCCCACTATGATATAAAGCATAAATAAATACACACACGAACGCAGACTCCGGTCAAAACGGAACCTAGTTCTCTCTGGATACCACCTTGATTAATTTTAGCTGCTGTAGCTGTCAAACAAGCTAAAAAATTCCAATGCAAAGCTAAGCTAGCAGTGTAGTAACTGGCTGAAAAGACGTCCAGCTAAAAAGCTAGTGCCACAAAAGACCAACCACACGGCGCAATATTTGCAAGTGACCCAACTCTTCGGTCTAAAAGTTAGCTGCCGAGTACTTCTTGGGGCTAGAAAACGTAGGAGCAAAAAGCTTTTAGCGTTTAGTTTATATTAACCAGATACTACTTAGCTACCCATGTTAAGCCCTTACTACTGATCGACACTTCCTATTCTCGACATTCGACCAATCAAAACGCGTTTCGTATGACAGTAGCCAATGAGCGTGGGCCAAAGACGCGTAAGCGAATCAGGTGCGTACACAATTATGTTTCTAGTCGATGGGCTTGTCCACGACACCAGAACACGTTATGAAAATGCAAGGATAATCATACGTAAGGTAGTGCTGGTTGCTTTTCTTGCATATTATTATTTACACCGTACGCATAGTAAATACGAATGTTAGAAGTAGAAAAATTAATAAATATACATACCCTGAATGGTTTGTGATATCCAATGAATTATGCAATGCCTTACTCTGTGGTACTGTCACTTTTTTTCATGCCTCCAAAACATTACTGCGCAAACATGTTATGGAGGGATTTGAAGAGCCTCAAGAAAATAAACAGCTCCAGAATGGTCAGTGGTTGGTATACCCTCAGGCGAATGTGAAGTTGTATGTATGTATGTATGTATGTATGTATGTATGTATGTATGTATGTATGTATGTGCCCGTATTGTGACAACTAGGAAACTGATGTCTCTGGTCATGTCATTTTTGCCACTTGTTTTATGTGTTTCACGCGGTTTCCCTTTGGGTTCTGTCTTGTTTTTGTTTTATGTGAAATCACCAATCCAAATTCAAATGAACAAGTTTGAAATGGAAATAAAGGATTGAATCCTGAAACTTTGATTGTGAGATTACTGTTACTATATTCAAGGACGGATTTATAAAGTTGTAACCAGTTGGCTTTTAAATGGGTGATAAATCATTTATTAGGTCTTTATTTGGACTTACTAGTAAGGAAGAAACTTTTACTCCTTTTACAAGCTTTTTTTAAACTACAGATTTAATTTTTATTTTTTCCAGAATAGTCAAAATGTTTGAGACTAAAGTAGCAGCTTTTGAGAGCAAAAAAGTGGAGATAAATAAAAACATGAGTTTCTGTCTTCTGTAAAGCTAACAAGAATATTGTAAGTAAGTTACTAGTATTCTTGAAAATTAGTATCCTACAAAAATACCTTTTGGTTCCGTGGAAGGTCTGCAACAGGTCAACAATAAAAGATGCATCTCATATTTCATATCTCATATCTTAAAATTGTTTTGTTGCACAATGGTCTCAGCAGCTGCAGAATATTGTTTCCCCATTTAAATAACAACAGCTCCTGGATATTGTCACGATGACATGCAAAAATGAGTCAAATCTTCTTTCAGAAGGCACCAAACTGTAAGAATCACAGAGCAGCCTCTAACTAAAGGTGCACTCTGTCAGGTCCTTTGCATACAAAAGAAATCACACCAGCAGACATGGTAATTAATAACTGCATGTTTATTTACAGGCGGGTTTATTTGTCATTTCAGAGACAGTAATAAGACAAAGACATCATTATTTAGAAAAAAAACCATTCACAGTAAACAAGATAATGCAAGGCAGGGAGTGACAGACTGAGTTCAAACAATTAGAACAGTGACACATTATTTGTTGTAAGCACTCGACAGCTTTTCACAAAAAAAAACATTTGTGATGTTTGACTTTGTGGTGCAGATATGATCCTCCACGGGCTGCTGAGACTGTGCAAAACCACATAGAATCAGATTAGCCTTGTACTGTATTAGCCAAGAGAAGCACAGATATGTGCCAAAAAGATAAAATTGAGATTTTTCTACTCCTGGCAAATTCCAGCCTCTGCCAGTATTGTATTACATCAACTGATATCCAGACTGAGAAGGGTACAGAGCCAAAAATCAAAACAACAAATGCCAAAAGTATTAAGTGTCTGGATACTTTTTGGACCCATTATGTTAGAGTGTATCATTTCAATAAGGCCATTTATACAGTGATACATTTATTTTCTTCAAAATCATCATGTAAGACTCTTATCTTTAAAATGATCATGTCTTTGGTACAAAACTTTGAAGGCAAATCACCTGATTTGTTCCGTGTGAGCTTGCACACAGGCTACTATATACTATATAGAAAAATGTGGAAATGTGTTTCTTCACATTTGTACACTGATGTTGTGCAGTTTCTTAAGATGGATGCACACATTAACACACTCAAACATCCACACATAACTTTTTAAAGTTAGAATGTACAACAATATTAATGTACCATAAAAACAGTGATGTCGTCATTGCGTGTCCTGGTCACCTGTCAGTAACGGCATCATCGCAGATACCCAAAAGGGGAGACATGTTGACCAGTCTGTGCTGGCTGATGCTATGCTCACTGTCGAGGTGTGCCACATGATGGGCCCCTCGAACATATAACTTACAGCAGTCCAGCTCTGGACCCCTAAGTCACACTCATTCAGTCCAAATGTTCATTCCTTCCTGATTATAGTGAAGTGCTTCCATACAGTGACATTGTATATTATGTCCATTTGTTTAATTTTTAGGGCTTTTAATTAAAAAAAAAAAAAAAAAAAAAAAAAAAAAAATACAGCTGAACAAAAGCCAATGTTTTCAAACAGAAATTTGATGTTCAAGATTTAATAGAATTTTGATGACGCAGACTATATCATTTTAGCTTATTAATGCAGGCACAACAAAGTGATTAGTGGTAGTAAATCACAGTATACAAAAGAAATACTTACAGTATCACATAATATTAAGATTGTGACTCAAGTGCTGAGACAAACTAGAGGAAATAATGTATTTCCACCAGTGTTAAACAGTGGTCTGTCAGGAGTATAGAGATGACAAGATATTCTCATACTGGAGGTTTTCTTTCAACCACACCACTGGACTGTACTTCAGGCTCATGGTACCTGACGCATAAGATTCCAGTTAGAAGCATAAGGTAGGGTGGGAAAAAAAATTAAAAGGTGTATAATCCTTTTTTTTGTTGTTGTTGCATAAAACACCAATTTTCCTTTATTCTTGTTTGGGAATTCTGGTTATGCAAAGACTTAGAAAAGAAAAACGTATTACCACACATTTCACCAAATGGGTTTTCACAAGTTCTTAAACTGCCATTGGAATATTAGCATTTATTTGGTTTCAGGGTTAAAAACGCTGTGTGCTACACATGAATGGTCCAAGCACGTCCAGAACCAGCCAAAAACCAAAGAGAACCAGGTGTTGTCTCTTCCCAGTGAGACGCTGTGGAGAGACCGGGGAGCAGTCCAGCATCAAGTCTATCGCTGTGCAGCTTTGATGACCCACTCTGCTGTAGGGTTCAGCTGGAAGAGGTCTTTCATGTACGTTTCCTCATCGAGACATCTCTCCTCTGAGAGGAAGAGACAGACAGACAGACAGACAGACAGACAGAGAGAAGCAAATAACGTATGGACATGATGTCCAGATGTACTGTTGTTACTACTATGATAGATAACTATAATTATGTGTGGCTATTATAACCTAATTTCTGGCCTGTTGGCTGACTGGCTGGGTTATTAGCAGAGAACAGAAAATGTAAACACTGTAATTAATTTGTTTTTAGTAGGAGCTGGACTTACTGATGTTTCCACCGATCTCATAGAGACACAGCTCTTCTCGCTTTACTGTCACGGAACTGGGAGGATAAAGAGAGAGAGAGAGAGAGCAAAGGAGAAAGAAGGCATTAAGGAGACATGAGGAGAGGCTAAGCCTTATATAGGCAAGGCTGATACTGCATGTTTACCTGTGTGAGAGTGTGCGAAGTGCTATATGTACACGCATTACCTGTCTTGGCTGAGGAAGCGGGTTAATACATCAGCGGCCTGCAGCTCTGCAGTGAGCTGAACTGCCATAGAGATCTTACTGAACTGGGGGGCTTGGACTCGAATGAACCCCTGTGAACTCTCCTGGTTGTAAACACAGACAGACAGAAACACGGAGAGAGAGAGAGAGAGAGAGAGAGAGAGAGAGAGAGAGAGAGAGAGAGAGAGAGAGAGAGAGAAAAGAGAAACATAGTCAATCACTCACCATAAACACTTCAAAACTAAAACTAGATCAGAATTCAAAACACTGTCCTCATCGGTACACAAACACTCCCGAGACAGGGACGAGAATGTGGACTCCGCCTAAATCCCGCCTGTTTTGTTTAGTAAACTCCAAACACTGTCTGGTGTCACAACACTTAGCTGAGCATGCAGCTCAAGAGCTCAGCTGCAGTTCCAAGTTACTCATTCACAACTACTGTATATTGCCAAGAAGAACAGAGCCACTCTAACACGGAAGCCTGTTTGCCAAAAAGGCTGATTAACAGGAGTCAGGTGAGAGTGCACCACATATTGCTACCTGAGAGCAAAATCCTGACTAACACTGAGAAGGAAGGTCATACTCTTGCCAAGCGACAACTGAGAGGAGATAGAGCTGAGAGGCCGTCAGATGTTCACGTCATATAAAAGGATCCACTGTCCTGTATTTGGCTCTAGACTAAACTAGAATTACCGCCTCATGATTGTATGCCACAATTATGTTTTGTGTGGTCACAGTGACCTTTACGTTTGACTGCCAAAATCAAATCATTTCATGTGAAGTGAGAAATTCCTTGAAGGTGTTACTCAGATGTCACGTTCGGGAGAATGTGATGGACAGACAACCTGAAGGCATGAAAATATGCTCACATAGGAACAATATTCTCATAAAGCACCGCTAGATGTCACTATTACTCAACTGACTTTAAACACGAGCTGCTCGGAGTCGCACTCTATATTTAGATATAGTTAGATATATTGGTATCAAATTGTCATCTAGGTTTTTTATTTCGACTTATTATTTCTATTCAGCTATTAGGTTTTTAACTAGTGTTGCTTTGCATGCTCGTTATTCAAAGGATGTATGGAAACCTTTGATGCGGCTCTGACTCTTTTCACCCTTACCAGTTGTTTAGCTGTTATACTGGAGTTGAGGCTCAGTACTCTACTATGAAAAAAATTGGATATGAGTGTCTGTTTTATATATCTGTTTTTATATGTAAGTCAATACATTTATACAACAATACACTTGGTTTACACAGCCATGGAAGCAAAATGTGTAGTAGGTGTTAGGTTGTTTAATAATTCAAAATCTACTGTTAAATAAATGTAGAATTACACTCTCTCGTTAGCATATTTCTTAGTAGGATTATTAACTAGGTCACTGACTACGAAATGAAAACCCCTACCTCAGGGACAGCTTTATCAGATGGTTTGTCAGTGGTTATCTTCTTCAGTAGCTTTCTTACAGCTCTCTCTTTATTCTGTTTCCGCTGACTTTCCATGTTTTGATGTCTGACCTGGGTCACAATGAACTTGGGGATCTGGAGACAAGATGCACAAATAAAAGTGAGGTTTGATACCCTTAGTACAACATGCATGGAAAAATGAATCTTGATGTTTGTGTGAGTAACTACGCCTCGCCAGGAAGCACCAAGAAACATTGTTCTCCATTGATTTCAATCATACAAATGACACTAACACAGATTTACAGTTTGTTTATAATGGTGTTTAGAATATATCGATCGAGATCCTTACTGTCCATAGAAGATTCTGGTATCTAATCAGCAGGCGGACGATGTTGGCTGTGCTGGTTGCCATGGAGAACTCCTGTTGTTCTGTAACCTTGGAGCGGAAGCCTTTGAACATGAAGATGTTGGGTGCTATGACAACAGAGACATTGTTGAGCGTCATTTTATTCTTGGCCTGATGGTCAATCACACGCTGGAAGAACTCCACTAATGCCTGGGGAGGAAAACAGAAATTAAATTTACACAGAAATAGTCAAGAGCTTCTCATGATTAAATGATTTACTGAATTGAAAATTAAGCATGTTTGAAAGTGAATGTGTATCTACCTTCAAAGTATCCCGATTGTGCTCGGGCAACAAAAGGACAAGCAGGTTCAAAGCCTGCAGCTGTTGCTTCTTTGTGGGGAGCTCTGTTAATACACACACACACACACACACACACACACACACACACACACACACACACACACACACACACACACACACACACACACACACACACACACACACACGGAAATGCTTAATGCACGTTTTTTTCACTTCATTGACTCATGATGTGGCCGTAAAGTTCTTGCAATTAAGCTGAATACTTCATGAGCAGATGGTGTACATACTGTTGACAGCAATGAATGCGCTGAGGTACTCCACAGTCAGTAGCGGATGGGGTAACTCCCTGATGAACAGCTTCAGAAGGCTAGCAGCATCGTGCTGCTTCAACTGTTGCCATGGAAACATTCCGTCATAGAAGGAGGTCTCAAGCTCCTGGCACAGTGACTGGATACGGGACAGAGAAGGAACAAGTCAGGTCACTACTGCCAAAACTGGTGGAAGAATAACTTAGACATCACCTTTTTTTTTTTTTAATAGACCTAACAATCTTAAACATTTTACAGTGTGTCTGTGCTGGTGAAAGTCAAATACTTCAACCAACCTTGACTCTAGTGGCCGCTCCAGGGATCCGTAGCAGCCCCTCTGTGTCTAATCCCTCCTCCTCAATATGACTGATAAACTAAAGATAAGAGCGAGATTATGTTTAGGTTAAACACCACAACACTAACAATGATCACAGTACAGTAAGATAACATTATACATTTGTATATATTTCTGCTGTTTGATTGATTCCTATCAATATTCGCTGTTGGACTGTCAGTGGCTCATACTTGACAGTGTGACCTGCTGACGTGCTCACCCTCTGCAGTATGAATGGCACTTTGGTCCCAGGAGCCCGCCTCTGGTCCTGATCCAATAAAGTGGCAAGGGGGACACCGAACAGACCACTCTCTGCACACACAAGCGCAAATATTGAAAAACTAACATTAACTATACATGCATCATAACCTGGAAAAAAATTGTTCTTTATACTAATTTTAGCAGTTTTTTTAATGACTTTGTGTTAGTGTGTCAGTGTTTGCACATAAACCTGCTTGTGTGTGTGTGTAAAGGCTCTTATTTTGTTGTTGTTCACGTTTGTTTCTCGTGTTTGTGTCACTGTGCATGTCTGAGTTTGTATTTTTTCTGTGTGTAATGAGAAAGCCTGTTTACTCAGAGTTTTGTTTAGCCTTCAGAGCTTTCCCACAGCATATTTCTATGTGTGTGTGTGTGTGTGTTTGTGTGTGTGTGTGTGTGTGTGTTTACCTTTAGCCTTCACTTTGACAGCTTTGTGCGCCTTCAGGTCTATCCCAGCAGTGTCAAACAGAGCAGTCATCTCCACAAGCGCCAGTCTACGCACCTAGAACATTAAAAACAAACAGAGACGGAGACAGGGATATTATAGCAACTGCATCAACTAACTCAATTTCTTCCTACGGGAAAGTTTGCCTTGCAAAGGCTTATCATTAAATAAACAGACATGTACACACAAGCATCCACAGATAATAATATTATGTCCTCGCACAATAACTTCACTTACCTTTTTCATATCCAGAGGAGACAGATCTCCTATCCTGGTCTGACCTGTTTTGTCTCGGAGCAGCTTAAAGTTCTAGAGAAGGAAACCGAAGAGATCAGGAAAAACTCGAAAAGGAAACACTGTGCCAAATTAATATTTGACTTGTATTTACTTTTACACTGAATGCTGAACGTGGACGCCGTAATACTGATTTGATAGAATTGAATGCGAAGTGACGACAGACCTTTTTCTGAACACACGGAACAGTGGAAATAATCTGTTAAACCAGCTTCAACCACAAGATGTCAGTACAGACCAAATTTACACACACAAATGCTACTACCCACAACCTGTAGGTCACACTGGATACTCCATTAAAGTCTAACAAGAATGTTTTACTATAACTAGGTAACTGTGCATACTATATTCTAATGTGTGTTGTTGGACTTTACATTTCATCCTGAGCTGTACATTCTGTTTTTATTACATTACAAGGCCAAAACAACATATTAAGACAAGTTCATACGTCTTGATGCCAGCGAATATTCAACTATTTACATAATTAATCTGATTATGTTCCACCAAGTGCAACTGAGACAAACATTTTGTCACTCATGCAGTAAAAAGTCATTCCTATGGAGTGAGGTTCTTAGATTTCTGTTGTCTATCTCAGCTAATCATTGACACACAACAATTAATACGTTGTTAATACCAGCTCTAATATCACCCCACACTGAAGAATGCTTACGACAAGAGAGCAATTCAAAGTGGCTTTGCATACGTTTACAGAACAATGTATGAAATCAGTGCATCCTGTTTATTCACCCGCTCTTCCCTCAAGTACAGACACGTTCAGTGTATCAGTAAAGAAACACACTGCTGAGGAAGTGAATGTGCATGTAGCCTTTGTGTATGTGTGTGTGTGTGTGTGTGTGTGTGTGTACACAGGTATGTGGCTCACTGGTAGTTTGTCGTCAGGAGAACTAGGGCCGGTGGTGACCTTTAATCTTTGATGGTTGTCCCTGTAAGAGAGCGCCTGCTCTGAAAACGCCACTTCAACGTTCAGTTCTGTCTCTGTTTCTGTCGAGACACAAATACAGAAAAAAAATAAAATAAAACACAGGACCACACAAGTAGTTTACTTAAACTACATGAGTGAAGTGTGTTTACATTTATTTAAACCCAGTGTTTTAGCCACGATGGCAGAGAGAGGAAGAAACAGAGGCCTGCTGCCTTTCTCTACCTTTTAATACACAACTGGAGATTGTTTAAACGATTTGACAGTGATGTACAATATAGACAAGATCATTCTAATGTTGTGTAGATCTGAAATAAAAGCCTCATTGTATTGTTGCATCATATGTTTCCACTGAGTCTTTTTATTCCGTTTTATAGTAGCTAAAAAGCAGCACTTCTTCTAAACATATGCAAGCTGAAAATGATGTGCTGTTGTGTTTTGAATGAGCATAGACTTTGCCATGGTTTGAAACTTCTAAAACAAAAAGCTTGGAAAAGTGAATTTGAACTGACTTTTATCACATTGTTCTGTGTCCTAATCTTTCCTATTCTAAAAATGAGTTGCTATGCAGAGGTTTATTTGGGCCACAGTTAGTTGCTCACCATGCTTACTCACACTGCATGAGAGAGTGTGTGTGTGTGTGTGTGGGTGTGTGGGTGTGTGTGTGTGTCCGTAGGAGTATGTTGCACATACCAGCTGAAGTGACATCTTTTTGTCCATTCTCAGTTCCCCCTTTGAGTTTACTAGGCTGCTCATCCTGCAGCACACAGCACAACACAGAGACACATGAGTGTACAGCACACAGTGTAATGTTCAACAATTCACTCACACACATTCAAACAGTACACCCCTCCCCAGTACATTTCTTTCACGTTACATATTATCCTGTCTGTTAATTAGTGGACAAACTGCATCTAGGTGAAAGAAAATGTGAGAGTATTAGTTGAAGACAGCTTATTCTGCTGACTGATTTACCAGTAGTACACTTCATTCTACTCAAATAGTAAAACTTAATTCATATATTTTCCATTTACTGAATATAAATTCGGTCAATCCAATATAATGTAGTGAAGGGACTTGATTTTCCAGAAATAAAATGAGGTTTGGTGCTTAAAACAGACTGCTTGCTAATTGGCAGCTGATTGCTGCCAGACTGGAGACAACAAAGTTGGCAAAGCAGTGACCACTTCCTTTCCTAAGAAAAAGGAAACATTGGTTTTGTGATTTGTGGTTGAATGCACAATTCATCGTATTAAAGAGGAATCAGGGAAGAAAAACAACATCAATGCAGCATCTTTTTTTTTTTTTCAACAAGATTTCATGTCCTTCATAATCACTGCTTACTGAGATTCTGTGACCTCAATTAGCACAATTCTGACAGGAAAATAATAATTAAAAGCTTTAAGGGAATAGTTTGATATTTTGGGAAATACACTTATTCACTTTCTTGCTGAAACAGCCAGACTAGCTGCTACAAGTTTCTATTAACACATAACTTATCATTTTCATACTTGTGCACTTCCCAAAAAAGGTCTTAAATCGTGAGATACACAGATAAAACAGTCTGATAAAACGTGTCCGTGTCAGAGTTTACAGTAAATGAAACAGCTGAACACATGGAAATGTAATGTCTTTGGCTTTTATACTCTTTTCAAATAGCTCCGACTTATATCCTTTCATCTTAATACAATATACATTAGTTTTTGTCTTTTAACCTTTTCAGAAGGTCTGAATATATCCCTAACGTCAGGAACGTGTTGTCGGTTGCGTCGCCGTAGCAACGTCTGCTGTAGTGTGGTCACACGACGTTCTACAGCTGCTGCCTGAGTTCTGGTCAGTGTGGACAGGAACACCGCGCTGTCTTCTTCCTGTCAATCGGAATCAGACATGAGTCAGTTAAAGAACATCCATCTATTTCTATATCATCTATATCTATTTCTTTTCCAGGCTTTTCATTTTAGAGGTTTCAAACCATGGCAAAGTCTATGCTCATTCAAAGCTGTGAACTGCAAGTATGAAACTGATAAACCATGACTCAACCTGGACTCAGGTGTCACTAATCAAATAAGGGAAAGATGATCGACACCTGATCCTGGTCAGCTGCCAATGAATCATCAAACAGTCGTGCTAGCCCCGCCTCTGTAAGCCACGCCTCCTCCTGCTCTCCTTCTGAAAGAGAAGAAAGGAAATCAAATAGGAAAAGAGAGGGATATTTTTCAGTTTGGTTCCTGACATGATCTATCACGAGCATTAATTTGTGACTCACAATGAGTGAAGTATATATATCAGTATATAAAAAAGCCTCTATTTGATTCTACAGGTGCAGGAAATGGGAAAGGAGTACACACAGAACCGTACAACACATTATATACAGGAAGAGTGTGTTTGCTCCAGAGAACAATAGTCTTCATAAACAGACTCACTGAAAAACACTCAAGAATTGCATCCGCCATGTGCAAAGTAACACGGAGCCAGTCTGTACAACCCTGAGCTGGCAGTGTTTTTTTCTTTTTTATAAAGAGCCAACATGTCGCATTTACGAGTCAACAAAGAGGTTATGAACAGACGCAAAATGTCCACAAAGAGACACAAAACAACCACAGAGATACAAAATGACAACACATGCCCAGACTAGTGTATGATCCAACTCTGCCCCTACATTATCCTTACTCTAAATCAGGTCTGTCTATGGACACGGTGTTATCTCACCCTCAGGAATCTTCTGCTGCTCCTCCTCTTGAACTTCCCCTTCTCCTCCACCTTCTCCCCTCCCTGCTCCTCCTCCGGAGCGAGTGATATTCTCCACCTCCTTCCAATAGTCGTCCATCTCCAGCTCATCCAGAGAGTCCTGCAAGACGTGCAGACACATTTCATCATTTACAATTTCAAGTTCACATTCCTGTTCCATATCTTGTTTCTGCCCTGAACAACGTTTTTTTTTGTCGATTTATTAAAAAAATAAATTCTCTCAGATATGATGCAAAGAGATGACAAATATCACCAGCGAGAGCCAGAGTCACAGCGAGTCTTAACAAGTCTCAAAAGTGTCCATACCTCTCAAATAGCACACACACACACACACACCAAACGCACACACATATTTTATGTAAGATACCTAAAATTTAAACAGACCTTGGAGCATTTTTCCCCAGCTCACTTTACTTTTCCAAAAACGGCACTTAAATTAACTTGTTGGGTTATTACTGAGTTTCCATGCACATTAACTAACCAGAGATTACTGAAAACATGAGCAATGAGGGGCAACAGTTGTAAGCCTGCATACCAAACTCCCTGTAAAACTTTAACAGATATGATTCATTTATTTATTATTACATTTATAGCAGACATTCTTATCCAGAGAGAGCACGACAGCAGAAAAGGTTGTTGCCTGTGAATTATTAGAGAAGGTCTACCATTAAATAGTTTTATAGTGATACCTGAAAATATACACCTTAAAAATATGAACGGAAAGTCTTCATTCAGAGAGTCTGCAGACTCAGTATTATTAGCACTAAGAAACTCATTGCCTTGTGTCATAAAGTCGGACCTGTCCATTTCATTTCTTGACCAAAACGCATTGAGATTAAACAATGTGCTGCCTCCGCTGAGAAAACTAGCGAACTAGCTTCAGTGCAAATATCTAACTGGACAAATGCTGACATCTACCTGGACTCCATAAGTGTCCAGTTTTTGAATGGCAGCCCACAGCTGTAGTGTGAAAGTAGGAAACAAATGAAAGGGAAAAAACTGTCCTGATGATGAGTTTGTTTCACTTTAAGGTCGCCACACATGCAAGGATGCTCTTAATGCGAGAAAGAAATATAAGAATCCGTCATTTTAGAATATACACGAAAGCAGCTTGTTGGAATAAACAGAAGTAGAATGGGAGACCAATAAAAAAAATACAACAATACCATTATAAAAAAGACAAAAAAAAAAATTGGAAACAACAAATTTTATGAACTTTGAGAGAGTAAGGAAAGGAAAACAGAGTGCAGCAACAGCTAACGACAGCACAGAATCACACCGCCGACCTGAGAGTTACAGCGCTGACATGCGGGTCGAGGTCTGGACCTGGAGTTGGGACTGTGCCCGGGGCTGGAGTCAGGCTTTGGGCTGGAGGAGAGCTGAGACCTGGGGCAAGCGGCAGAGCTTGGATTGGGGAGTGACGACAGGTCGGTGCTGCTGGTTTTGGTAATACTGGCGGTAGCGGCAGGCCCGTATCTATCTTCATGTTGTGTGTTTTGGTTCTGCTGAACGTTGTAGTGGCCTGTTCGGCGGCTGCAACAGAGACATGCACAGACAGGTAAGTCAGACAGTTAGAGGGACACATCTAGCTATTTGGCATGATCCTTGCTAACGCATGTCAAAACTTGGCCAGGCAAAGTTTCTGATCTGGATCAAAAAATGATAATGATCTGATTCCCATAAGTCATAGCATGAAACTCGCTCTGAGGCATAACAGTTTTGCCAGTGGCTTTGCACTTTGTACCTTGTTTACATTATGACATATCTCATAACAGCAACTACTGTATCATAAAAATATTCCTAGATTATAAATGTCAGATTGTCTGGGAACTGACTGTGTTCAGTGTGCTCTATAAAAAGGAGTATGCAGTGACGTTTCAAAAAGCAACCTACGTATTTGCTTTCATTTAGATCCATATGTCAGCTTTGTGCCTGCAGTGGATGTTAGTTTGCCTTTAATGGCAGGATCCAGATAGTTTATGACACAGAGCGGTCAGTGAGTCAGACAGACAGAAGTCGGTCAAAGAGGCTAAGTAAAGACGAGCCAGCGGCATGTTGAATTCCCAGCCAGTCAAATAATGAGGACAACACCAGCAGGGACTAAGAATAGCAGCTCTCACACAGCTTGGACTTCACTGTGCTAACTTTACACAGGCAGCTCAGACTAGAGTCGTTTAGCCTAGCCTAGCTAAGACAGAGTGAACCCTCAATGCTCATTATGATGAGGATGACCTCATAGGTTGTCTAACTATAATGACTGTCATTGTGTGTTGTCATATGCTGTCTATCACACACACACAGACAGACTTGAGGATGCGAAGCAGCGACCCACATGATAATCAGTACACAACTTAATGATGTTATGTGAAGTCATGGACAAGAAACACACACTCACAAACACATGGTCACAATGTTCACAAGCAGGGTGACATGAGTGCTGCTACTCTGTGCTGTATTTTATAACATCTCAAAGAAACAAAATGGTGATTACAGTAACTGATTAAGTACCCCAGTACCGATAATGGATTTTGAGGCTAGGTAAGGCTGGGTAAACAATATTATACATATACTGTATATACATATATATATATGAATTACAGGTAGGTTGTGGGTGAAAAAAAACACAGGAATGGAAAAATAACAACACTTTTTAAATAAACATTTAAATCAAGAATAGTTAGCATAATTTTATTATAATTATTGTGAATGTCTATGACACAGCCTTTCACTCTTAATTCATTGATTCCAGAAAATGCAGCTGCAGCTGTGGACAGATGATTTCTGCAAACCTGGTTATCTTTTTTTGAAATTCTGACATTTCCAACTCAGTTTTTTATGTGCAAATTGAAAATGCGCATAAAAGAGGTGGATGGTAACACAGCTAATGTGCGTTTGATATTGTGTCTTATTTCTGTGGTTTTGCTGATGTCCGACTGAATGTCCCCTTTGTTGTGACAGGAAGTTACATAGCACTTTCTTCATCTCTGCTCTCTTCCTTCTGCTCTGTCACTCTCTCTTTCCAACTTCAAGCTGTAGTTGTTATGGACTGAACGGCTACAGTTCTGGTACAACTGTGATCTCTGTGTCCCATGCCAGTCAAGCTGAAAGTTAGCTGTCATCAGTGTTGTTCATCTACATTCATCTACTTGTGAATCATCAGTAATCTCACTTTCCAAACACACCGTCATAAAAAATATACAGTTGTATATTTGTCAGTGCAGTTGTTAAAAAGTTGAGCCTTGACACAGATACTGACACTGAAAGCGGATGCGTCAGTGTTTAATGTGATGGCAAAGATTAAAGCCTCAGCACGTTGATTTTACTGAACTGAAATGAACTTCTACCAGTAGGGAGGGGACACTATGGTAAAATGAGATAATTGTCAGTGATACTGTAGCAAATAATGTTAACTATGCATGACATGAAGTTAATAAGCCAAAACATGAAAAACACCAACATGTTCCAGATCACGATACTATCATGAAGTAATATATCAGACACAACTGGGCCAGTTTTTATTACACCTCGAAGACAGCACAGTCACATATTTGACACAGCATTTAAAAACACTACACATGCTGATGCAGAGTGACGTTTAAAGGGAACAATGAATAAAAAATAAAGACTGGCTCAAAAGTAATGTGTAAGTGTAAGTGAAGCTACAACACTGATCTAGAAAGGCTGCTTCATTAAGGTATTGTATAAGCAGGCTACTAGACTGCCCAGTCACCAGCAAGTGAGTGAAATTCAGGCACAAAATAATGATGTTTCCAATATTTAGTCACTACACACATCTAACTGCATGAAACGCAGGAAAAGGAATTAAATTAGCTTGTGGGTGAACAGCAAGGAGCTGATGTGCTGTATTAATTTATTTGGAATTATCAGCAGTGTATTACCCTGAGGGTTCATGCTGTGGCAAAGCCACATACCACAGCAGACTTCCTGCCACACACACACACACATACACACACACACACACACACACACACACAGTGTACATTACTAATAAAGTGTTAAAAAAAAAAACCACTGGTAAATATAGACTCACACACTTTGATCTGGTTTCAACAAAGAACATCAGGTATTTTACTAACAACAGACCTCCTCCTCTCCCTCCTTCTGCAAATCTCCTTCCTTTCCAACTCTTCTCTCCTCCTCCTCTTCCTCACGCATACCCCTCCTTTTCCTTTCTGTTTGGTGCTCTTGAATTCCCTCCCCTATTGTATTGGCTGTTTTCCCATATCACTTTTTTCCTAATGTTCCCATATCCTCTCTGACAGTAGGACTTATCAAAGCTCAGTGGGTGATAACACATGCAGAAACACGCTGTCTGACTCCTCTCTTGACCCTCTTTGTTTTGAGCGGGTCACTCTCCTGACACATGCTCGTTGCCTTGAACTCCCCACCGACTGTAATATTTTCCTTTCCTGTCATACTTGACAAGATGTGTTTACACCAGAGCCACAGTAGAAACGGTCTGACTGAACACACACAAACATATTGACACACATAAGTTTGTTAGTCCTCCACAGGATGAATTGTAAAAACCCAAGTGACCCCTTAACAATTCATCTAGTGCCATCATTCATCAACTATCTGTAGGCGTTTTAGGTGTTGGTCCAAATATGTCAAATGCACAACAAACATCCAAAGCCAACAAGAAATAGCTGTTGCTACTGACTGGATATATGGCGCTGATGCAACAGGCACCTGTTCTGAATTATCTGATTGGCTGTTTTCCATTTACCTACAGTCCTGCGGTTAAAGAAAATATATTTACAAGCCGGTTAAAAATTAAGCTTTGCAGCGTTCACAGTATATCAGTTGTTGTTGAGCGCTCTGGGTGATTTACCAATCTGTGAAAATATGTGAAAAGCAAGAGTGGAGGTGTGATTCCTCTGAGTGACCTCAGGTCACAGTGCAGAGATTTTTTTTGTGCATGTGTGTGTTTTTGTGAGCAGGGCCATCCCAGTTCATACAATGTCAAATCCACAACACACACACACACACACACACCACAATAATACAAACGATGTTTTAGACACAATAGTTAACAGCACACATGACTTTGCTCCATTTCACACACGCATAAAAGGTCAGGTGGGCTGCCCTTGTGAGTAAAACAAACACTGCCTCTCTCTGGCACACTTTCATACATACATGAACAAATGACCTTTAAAGTAAAACACTGATGCAGCTGTGTGTGCGATTGTTTTACTCGTTGTACCTTTCCCCACACACCTTTTATCAGCTTGTTAGAGCTGCCGACAAAGATGAAGTGTGTGGGAGTGTGTGTGTGTGTGTGTGTGTGTGTGTGTGTGTGTGTGTGTGTGTATATGTGCGTGTGGAAAAAGTCCAGTGTGTAAAAGTAAACTCTACACTGTGAGGCGTAAAAACGACTAGAAGGAAGGAAACAGTATCGGCCAGCAAAGAGCAAATTCTGCACCGATGAGTTGAACATGAGTCAAGATGTGAGGAAGTGATCTCAGCTGACTATTTTAGCTGACATGGCCTGAGCTTGAGTATCACTGCAGACACAAGGAGCTCCCAGCTCCACACAGCACAAAGAATAGATATGATGCTGTAGACTTACATTAAAAAGAGACAACTGATTTAAATCATTGAGACATCATTGTATCAATCTTCTCTCTCTCTCACCAAGAAAGCAAATAAGTGTATTTACCAAAATGTTGAACTGTTCCTTTAAAAGGATCTGAGCAGTTTTTTCCAGCACTGGAAATGGATGTGAGGAAAACGATTATTTATTTCTATGGTTTGACATAAATACATAATGAACAATGGACAGCTGAGGAATTAACAAGGGGGAGAGGATGAGAAGTGTGTGTGTGTGGTACTCCCATTCACATCAACAGGTGCCAGCTGCCCTCTGAAGACAGAAGCTGCCTCTGTGTCCCCCCCCCCCCCCCCACACACACACACACACACACACACACACACAGTTACTGATCTCAGCAAAAGACCCACTGGCTGAATAAATCATCTTCTTTTAGTTGCGAGGAATCTACACTGAAATGATATGCTCGCCCTTTCATGCTGGAGGTCTGACTCACTTGTCAGTTTGTCTCTGTCAGTCTTTCCTTCCATCTCTCCGTCTGTCACTATTTTTCTGTCTTATTTTTTTCTTTTTTTTCTTTCTTGCCGGTCTGTCTCTCTTGCCGTCTGTTTCTCTAGATGATGTCCTGTTTATGCGCGTTTGTGTATTCTTCTATTCCTGACGGACACCACATTAAATCTGAGTGATGGTGTGCTACAGCGCACAGCTGCGAAGACTCACGCGGTGTCCTGTAACCCCTTCACAGCTTGTCTTCCTTTCTGCAGACGTCATTTCCTGTGCAGTGTTGTATTTCTGCAGGCAGTCTGCTGCATCACACAGTGAATTTATTTGAACCATGTGTGTCCACTAGCCACATAAATACTTTGGGTAACACTTTCTCCTACTCGACAGTGGAGAACACAACAGAAACACAATGCTCTTTAGCTAAAAAATTAACCTCTCAGAGCAGCTAAACCTATTTTCATCTGAATTACCAAAAAAAAAAGAAAAACAGAAAGACAACTATGAGCAAGACTCCCAGCAGACACGTAACCTAAGGCTCCTTAGGTCGGATGTCCCCTTCTGGTTAAAGGCCAGCAGCTTTCTGTCTGTCTGTCTGTGGCACTCTGTCTCCCATTTCCTGACTAGGGGAAACAATGACCACAAAACTAAGCCTTCAAGTCAACCTAGACAGGACGCACATACACTGTGGGAGGTGAGACAAAGGCAGGCTGTAATGTGATGCTGTTTTTTTTTTTCAAGCTAGTGGGAGAAGCCATCTGGAACACACACACACATATACATATACTGTATATATATATATATATACACACACAAACACACACACACACACACACACGGGGGCAGGTGTGTCCAACTGAAAACCACCTGGACTGAGTTGTTTACTTTTATCACACCACGGTTGTTGACAGCTGTTGTTTGCTGACCTAAACATGCACTGAACACACACACACACACACACACACACACACACACACACACACACACACACACACACACACACACACACACACAGCTCATCCTGGATGAATAAACAAGTCCTCTCTGTTATAAATAAGAGTGTCACTGTACAGTTGTTTCAATATGAGCTTAGTTGCTATTCAGTGTTTCCTCTGTGGCGCCTCTTGATTTATAGCTCCACACTCGAGAGGAGTCTTTTCCTCACTGTAAGAAGCTGAGTAGATGCTTATTATGAAGACGATCAAGAAGATATAAACAAAAGCAGCAATAACAAGCCTGGATGGTGGGTAAGACAGCGCTCTCCATCTCCATAAACATGAACGCATCAAATGAGGGAATTTCTGTTGGAAGAACGGTCTTCATCCCTAAGAGACTTCATGCTTGTTTTTCATTTGTATCAATCTGTATATTTTACTACTTAGAAAATAAACTGCTTAAATGATCAATCAACAGAAATTTAATCATCGAAACTTCTGCTAATCATTTATCAAGCAAAAGTGGAAAAGATTTGCTGATTTTAGCTCGTGTTTTTCTGCTTTTTCTGTTTTTACATTTTTATGAACTGATCTTTGTGTTTTGGACGGTTGCTCAGACAAAACAAGACGTGATGACGTCACACTGAGCTCTGAGACCTTGTGATGGACATTTTTCATTATTGTGACATAGTCACATGACATCAGTGTGAATCAAACTCCTTTTGTGGTCCCACAGATATACATAGTTATTTTGAATATTGATTATTCTTTTGAATATTTTCCTCAACTGATGATCATTTGATTAATAAAAAGCCTTTAAACAGCCCTTAACAATTTCCCACAGCCCAAGGTGATGTCTTCAAATTGATTGTTTTGCCTGAATAAAAGTGAAAAACCCTGGAACCACCATCAAGTTTTGGCATTTTTGCTTACAAAACAGTTCAACCATCAGGTTTTGGTTTTTGCCCATTAACTTTTAGCTCATCAGGTAGTTTATTAATCACCTAATAACTTCAGCTCTACATAAACCAGAGTCCAACAACAAGACACTATCTGGCTGTTTTGTAATGCAAATTTATATTACACAGTGTTGGGGAAGTATTATCTTTAGAGCCACAGTGGTATCTAAGAATTCTCAGTCAGACTCTGGGTATAACAAAGTCAAGGTGAAGCTGCTGATCTGTTGATTAGGAATGTGCTGAGGGAAAAACATAACCCAGGGCCAGAGGCGGAGCTGGAGATAAAAAAAAAAAATATGGGGCAACTTACCAGGTTAGTGCTGGGTTAGTGTGGTGGGTTTTATTTAACACTTCTGCACAGTCAACGTAATTGCTCCACTGCTCTTCCGTTCAAAATGAGGTAAATAGCAATCACTGAGACCTTTGACCACTTACTCTCTCTCTCTCTCTCTCTCTCTCTCACACACACACACACTAAGTCACCTTTAGCCGCTACTGGCCTCATTTCAAACTGGTGTATTAGCATGGCATTACACTTGCACACTCTCATTTGTCCCACCTGGGCACGGCGGGTTCGAGGTCCTGGGCTGACGGAGCACACACTTCAGTTTTCGGCAACAGTTCCGCGTTGCTGTGGTAACCCGTTAAAACCACTCCCTGGATCTGCTGCTGCTGCCGACTCATGTTTCTCCTCCTTTTCTTCTTCGCTCTGCTTCACACACAGCTGACATCCAAACACCGCCCGGTCCACCTGTAGATCTGTGTGTGTCTCTATCTGTCCATGCTTCCCGTCGCTGGGCTCTTATGTTGTTGACTCATGCTGACATCAGACTCTCCTCCTTCTCTCACTCTGTCTCCTTGTTGTTCACTCCTTTCTCCACAACTTGTGTCAGTGTGTCTGAGAGGCGGGACAGGGGGGCGGGATCACGGATACAAGGCAGCGCGGGGATTGGCTGGAAGCGCAGGTCCAAAGTTTCAAAGTTGATGGCGCCCCCTACTGCTCTAACTGTAGTGAAGTGTGCTAACTAATTGTTTACTGATACCTCTGGGAAGCTGTTTCCATAACATCAGGATATCACTTCCGGTATATTTTAACATAATTAAGTTCTTTATGAACTTGGGCTTGAGCTGCTACTCGCACAGCAGTCTGTACTCCAGTTGTTGTTTTGGCTTTGGGCTCTGGCATACAGGATTTGAAGTGAAGCAGTGGCTATGAAGTTAAAGAGGAAGATGTTTGAGGGAGTTCACATCCTAGCCCTGTTCAAATATACACTCCCAGATTGTGAGCTATCTCCCTCAATATACAGCCAAAATAAGCACCAAGGTTTTTGAGGCCAAACAATGGATTAGTCCTTGACTGTCCAAGTCAGTCCAAATGCAGACCAAACTACAGGGAAAAAATCCCATAGACTTCAGCATGAGGCTACCCAGTCCTTTGCAATCAAATATAAAATATGACAATAATACTTGATATAAAAAAATGTTATACATTTTACTCCCCCAAAACTGGGTGGAAAAACAGTTGCTACACTCTTCACTGTTAGCTTATACTAATAACATTAAGAGCCTTACTCCTTATGTTTCTTCGACTCTGTTGAATACTTTCTATATTATTTCTTCTGCTCAGTTAATGTAGTTTATATTGGATTTACAGTTCAATGATAACCATTTTAATCTTCACAAATACAGTAATATTTCTTTATAGGTAAATAGCAGTCCTAAGCCAAGGCATTATACAGCAATATAGACACACTGCATTGAAATGATTACATTATATTCAGTAAAAGTAAAAATGCATTGGCGGTAAAATGTGCTTAATCATCAAAATGTTTATAACAAACTCACAGCAGGGAGTGTCACAGTCATGAATTCATTAATTCCTGTTCAAACATAGAGACAATGGAACCTGATTGAGAATCAAGTGCCATTTTTCTGTAATCTCAAAAATCTGATCACACACACATCAACATAAATGGGTCAAGGAGTCAAAACCACATGTAAACCAAATACAGCTGAAAAGCATTATGCACAGACCAGCACTCAAGCACACAGATCTCTCTCATTCGCACTTCCCTTACCTAAGATGAAGGTAGTACGCGAATCTGGAGACCATTGTATCCGTCTGTGCCTGTGTCCAGTCAGTCTGTCTTTCACAGAGAATGACCCTCTGGCCATGTGCTGGCAGATGATGGTAAAACACTCACACACTGTGATGAGTGGATTAACCTGAGAGGTCAATCAGATTTTTCTGCTCCTCCATCTGCCCCTCCCCAGTTTCGGATCCTTTCATCCCACCTTCCCCCTTCTCCTCCTTCCCACTACCCTTGGCCTCTATTCTCCCTCCATTCTTTTTCTATCTCACTTCCTTGCCTCATTCGGCTTTGCTCTATCCCCATCATGGCCTCCTCCTTCTGAACACCCTAACACTGCACAAAACTGTGTGCTTTGCAGCAGAAGTCATACAATGGTAGAAAACTGTAAATAAATAATGAGCCCTGACACATTTAACAGAAAATATCTTAAAGCAAGTCATTCTAATTGGAAATATTTTCTAAATTTTCATATTTGAATATTTATTTGACTCGACTTTTTATGTTATAGCCACAGGTTCGTTTCATATTCTGTGAGGGAGTTTGGCACCATAGTAGAGACAGATTGCTCACATATGCCCCCTAGTGTCTGTTGGGACACACGACAACTAGTGGCCCACGAAAATAATCTTCAAGTCTCTACATCCCCTAGCAACACTGTGGCTGCATTACTCTCTCAGCCTAACAGAATTACTGTTGAAGTACTGCACATTCTTCTCGGCCGCCCACCCCATCTGCTGTTAATCAGATTAAATGGCTGCTGTCTGTACTGTTCTGACCAACAACATACACTCTAGCAGCAGTTCTACCTTTGTGTTACACACATACACTGGAAAATTAAGGAGAATTGACAGCTCGTATGCATGTTTGACCCTTACTTTGACATTAAAAAAAAACATCCAGTTTACAATTCATCTAAGAAAAAAAAAAAAAAGACAAGATATCTTACAAGTGAAAATATTTTTAATTTTTATCATTATCACCTTAAAAGTGATCAAACCCCAAGAAAACATTTAACACTCGAGTACAAACAGGATTCAGAAGTAGTATTTAAAGAGACGTGACAACTTTATAGAAAAAGCAGCCACTCAAGGATTTCCTGTGACTACTCATGCAAAAGTTCTTCCATAATATTTGAGGCGAAAGCAAATTCTGCAAAGCATATCTCCAAACAGGAAAACTACTCTTGAGCCACATTATTAACAGATATTCGTAAATAACTGATTCTTTTAAAGGAAATTAACAAAACATCTTTTTAGCATGAAAACATTCAAAACATATGCAAAAACAACAAAAAAGTGCAACTTTCAGAATTATCAGTGCTGGACAGAAAACATGCTGTTGAACCTTGAAGCTTGCTCTTTGCTCTGCCCTCTGCAACACACAATGACTTTATTCATCGGGTGAGTCTCTCTGAACAGATGATAGATGACACTTGGTTTATCCATCTGCATTCTTGAGTTAAATTAATATCTACTATTGTGCTGGACAGTAAAATCTGTGCACCTCATTCTATGTTTTATGCAACATCAAACAACAATTACCAGTGTTATGTTAGCATTCGCACATTAACCCCAGGCGGGTTTAGTGAGCAGGATTTCTTACCTTTTTTCTTCATATTTACATCTTCACTGGGCCCCTCAAGTCTCGAAACATCTTTGAGTACATGTCTCTCTGTTTGTCCAAGCTGTCTTTATAAGACCTAGAAAATTTACATTTTTTATATATAACTTGTTAGCTTGGGGCTAAGGCTAGCTTTTAAACAAAAACATCAGATGTACCTAACACTAAGAATATGTAAAGTTAAGTGCTGTATATTAAAGTCTAAGCTATAAATGAAAATATAATTATGCTTTAAATTAATGTAACAGTTATAAGTAAGTTAATATGCAGCCTTGTGCATTTAAAATACAAGATCAATAACTTATACGTGTGGCTGCAAAACAAAGCACAGACAACAGAATTCATTGTAAATACATAACAGAAGTTGATCTCACATCGCCACTTTCCTCAGGAGGTTGTTAATGTCACTGTCAAAGGGTCTCTTTGCCTGAGCAGTTATGAGGCAATCCTGGGCGCTCTCATACTCATGCAGCTCCAGGTACGCCTGACAGACATGACATCAGTGTGAACAATAGACTTATCTTTATTTACAGTATGAGCATGGAGGAGGAGGCCGCACATGATATATAGTTATATCTAAAACCAGACCAAATAATATATTTAACATCTAGGAAGATGTTACATGAGAATAACAAAAATGTTTGTCATTAGCAATTTTTCATTTTTCATTGTCATTGGCAATTTATCATTCATCGTAAACTTGAAAAATGCTCCAAGGACTGAATATATCTTTTGCCTGTGTCAAACCAACATTTAATCTTGTGCACTTCAGGGCCTGTGGGGATTTTTATCTGATGGTTTGGAAAACAAACAAAAGCCCAGACCAACCTGTCCACAGCGGAAAAGAGCCTTTGTGTTGGCTGAGTCTATCTCCAAGGCTTTGTTGCCATATTTCAGGGCTTTGTGCGGGCTGTCCAGACGGAGCTCAGTGAGAGAAAGGTTCAGATATAGAGGCAGCACAGCTGTCTTGATCCTCTCCTTCTCTGCATCACTCTGGGATTCCCTGCTCCCCAGCAGCGTCATTGCCTGTTTGCCAAGCAGAGAACCCAATACAAAATACATTTACCTCGAACAGTACACATGTAAAACAGAAGCACAGCAACCTCTTTAGCTTATAAAATGAACATGAGCAAGGCTTCTTTATCTTTACCACACTTCAAGATTTACCTGTTTATAGCGATCTTTGGCATTATGATAACGGCTCTGGTTGAAGAAGCGGTTGCCAAAGCTGCGTAGTGTGTTGACAACTTCAAGAAGCGTGGACAGAGGAGCAGTGTTCTGCTCCTCCTGAAGACAGAAAAGACGTAAAGCAATGTGAACTGACCAACTATACAAACACAAATACTGATTATTTATTATACCAGCTTTTGAAAATAAAAGCACTATTTAAAGTGGAATAAATTATAGGCTAATAAAAGTCTAAAAAGGAATTAATGTCAAGGTGCATCATCATATATAATGGGCTTCTGGAGGCAAAAATAAGATTTCTTAGTTTTCCCAACAACAATAACAACAGGGCACCTGCAGTCTCCCTACCGGACTCAGTGCGACAAAGTCGTCCACTTGTCCTGAGTTGAAAAAATCGAGGATCTGAACCTCATACAGAACCACAGCAGCAGCAGGAATGAACGGAGGACAACCCATGTCCCCGTAAGCATAGTGGGGCTGGAAAAGGAAACGAGAGAACTCTCCTTTCTGCATGGTCAGCAGACCCAGCTCCAGTCCAGCCAGTGTCACATCTGTTTGAGCAATCATTTTTCAATCAGTGAGAAAAGTTCTCCTGGAGACCACTATTTTTATAGGTTAACAGGAAAATTCATTTGAACCTTGAAAAAGAATTTCTGACCTCTCCCTAACTTCATCATCTGCGGGTATTTGAGGTTTGTGGTGGTTTCAAAAGGTTGGTCTGAATATTCCAGGAAACCAGAGTAATGGACTGTGTAAGAAAAAGAATGAAGAGAGGTAATGACAGAACAAAAACATGTGGGGGAAAAACTGTGTCAAGAGTTTATAGAACAAAACTGCACTTGTCAATACTCAATACTGAAGCATTTTGGGGTACAGGTGGGCCCTCTCCAGGCTGGACCACCTCCTTCAGGATCCCTCCGTCTCCAGAGATGTCATCCATCTGCAGGCGTAGATGGTCAAACGGACTCTAGACAATAGAAGAAAAAAAAAGCCCTGAGATGTGTACACACTATTTTCACAATCAAGTCAATCATGAGTAAAGTTGGATTTAAGCTCATAAGTATTAACCACTGCATTAGTTATTAGTGTGTGGCTAGTGTTCTTCTAATCATTCTCAAAACATATGGATACAACTAAATGGAAACATCAGTGAACATCATTGCACAGTGGAAAGTGCAGCCTTTTGATGTTGTTTTGTTGTTTGTCTCACAAGATTGATGCTGCTGTGATAGATGAGTTATTGTTTACAACAGAATTTATCTGTGCAAAATTTACTTGGTGCACATACAGTATGTATGTGTGTATTTTTTTAAGAACCTAAGCAGCTCCACAGGAACTTGAAGTAGCCATTTATTGGTTTCATGTAACAACAATGACCTCAACTAATGACTTTAACATTCAAGTCTGATGATGTTGCTGCACTAAATCCCCGGTGTCGCATCAGTGAGTAAGATGCTTGACTGAGCTGAAATATATCGGCTTTAACAAAACTTCACATCCTAAACCAACAACGTTACCAGAGATAATTCAACAATGCCGCATTTCACACCGACGACAAGGCACATTTTTATCTGTCGTTAAGGTACTGACTGATACTGAAATTTATGAGTAGTGTAACTAAATTCTGAGATTTTGTTTTTAATGGCTGACATTTCCTTTAGTTTGGAAACTGTCTGTGTAATGCAGAGGCTGAACTAGAGCCACAGCTGCCTCTCCTACAGACTGAAACTTTGATATCTGTCTTTTTTTAATGTCAACATTAGCATTAGCATTTAACTAGCTAGCTAAGAAACATGTTTTAGCTTACGGGGTTGCTCGTCCTCAGCCGCTCCTCAGTGTTTATTAACCTCCGGATACTGGATATTAACCCGTTGCCTGACATTTCACCGATGTATAAATTACTGCTGCTGTTAGAAATATTCCATACAAAGCGGGTAATTCAAACTGAAACTACAATTGCCTGCTTTGTTCTTTCTCTCAGGTGGGTCAGGACACCTTGATGACAAATGTGACTCAACTGTGGGCAGGCCGAATCCCAGACACCCCGAGTTTACTACTACTGCTGCTACTACAATCAATATCAGCTGATGATCAGCCATGATCAGCCATTTCTAAATAAAGTATATGATTAAAAAAAAAAAAAAAAATTTAAATTATAGTTGAACTGTTCTTGTCTTTTTTCATACATCTGTAGCTTGAGGCCTATGCCTTTGTGGGGAGATGTCCAAATGGTTGAAGTCAACACACTGATACACACAATGCAATCTTTTTGCACGAATTATTTAATGTTAATCCAATAGATTTTAACTAATATATACAACCAGCATTAAAATCATTATTTGTGGTGTAGATGTGACCTTTTCATAGCACCTAAACATGAAACCAACAGAATCCACTCACACTTAGACAAGTATGAGGAGATCAGGTTACAAAGGATTTGAATTTGTTCAGTTTTCTGACCACATGTGGCACAGATTTGACGTGATTTCTTCTTGTTATTTTCTTTATCAGACTACTACACTATAGACAGAACTAGTATGTAACACATTCTAAATATTACACTGATGGGAAATAGCTGACTTTAATCACTACTGCAAAAATATCACTCAGTAGATTTTCTGGTAGTACATATTTTATGGCTGTAAAATCCAGGCTTTTTACCGAATGCTAAAGGTGTCATTTTGTTACAGTATGAAGTTTGTAAAGAAAAAATATAAAACAATATTCAAACTGTACAGAATATGGTACAAAAAACACTGTTAAATAGTATATGAGCTATTTGTACAAGGACAATAAGTTAATGAACAGTTATCTAGCTGTCAAAGTGCATCTTGAGAGATATACTTTAGTGTTCATGAACCTTGCAAGGTGAACTCACTGGGATGCAACCAGACATGAGATTAACCTGTAAGCAATTTAAAAGCTTTTCTCATTGTGTTCATTAGAAGTTCTGCAGTTCAGCTGGATAGACAAAGTTGCTTCTGAAGAGTTTATAGGCCAAGAGCTGTCCTCCGAATATCATCATCACCAGGCCTGAACCTGCAGAGAGTGGGAGATTAAATAAACAAGAAGAAAGGGATCAATCAAAGGAAGGCTTGGAGGCCAGCAGCAGCTGTCCTCAAGAAGCCTGAATCCTAAGGCATGCAGGAAGTGAGCAATAGAGAGTCTGGGAACAGGAAAAAATACTATCTTAGATGGATTGAAAGGAGCTGGAGAGTAACAGATGGTGGAGTTTTTCGTGTTCTGCAATTGGGATTGGAGACAGATAAGGAAACACATGGGGTCGCAGACAGAAAGATGATCAGGAAGAAATATAAAACTTACCCAGAGCAATCCACCAGTGCTCAGCTGAAGGGAAATCTGACATCACTGCAAACATACAACACAGAAACTGTGTAAAATGTAGCCCACACTCTACTGTCCATAAAATTCATTGAACAGATCCACACAGTCACTTTAGCCAAGAGTGAAACACACACAAAAGAAGGATGCAGGTTTAAGATGTTTGGGCGTCTTTCAATTTTAATTTTTGAAAATGATTTTAGTTTGTATTCTTTTACTTGAATCTGCTGGTGGATTCATAAATGTCTAGTGCCTGTAAACTTTGAACTACAGCCACTACATCCGGTTACATAACCAGGCCTCCAATCCTATCAGCTGTTCCGCTCTATTGATCCACTTTGTGTATGTGTGTCTGTGTGTGTGATTACCTGCCACAGTCATCGCAACATGCAGCAATGTGACAGTTATAGCGTAATCCCAGACCCACTCCTCTACGATCCAGGCAAACACCAGCCCTCCTAAAACATAGGTCACTTCTGTGGAAATTACACCAACTGGAAGGAGAGGGGGAAAAATATGTTAAAGTTGCTCTTCGCTTGTATTCTGTCTGTAGGTTTACTTTTACATTTAACTGCCATATCATATTATATATGTTATCATAGTTTACAACAGGAAGAAACACATCAGACACAATAAAAATATATTTTCCTCATCAGTGCTCTTGATATTGGGAAGCGACTGGAATCTCTCTGTTCATGTGACACAAAAATAGAGATTTCTTTATCTTCTATCAAATATGAGTCTCTTACATGAATATCACAATACTATTAGCTGACTCAGGTTAGGTGCAGTTGTGATGATGTTGTACTAGTGTTATGTTAACAGATGTTTTTCCACAGCAGACATATTTGACTTTTCATTGCAGGAGAAAGCACGCATTACATCAGAGCTCTGGAGCTGAAACACTTAATTGGATTGCAGTCATCATTAATTTATGTTGTTAATTACACTTGTGTTTTTCCTGCTATCATAATGTCTGTTCTGATAAACACCACGGATAAAACGTGTTTTTTGAAGTGGAAGAAAGTTACACTAGGAGTGATATGACACCACATATGACACTACGCCAAAAGATGCGTAGAATTACTTGAACTTTAAACCATAACAGGACTTGACTTAGCGTATTTAATAACTGACATTCACAGATCCTTGTCATCTCAGCTCATTATACACCTGACAATACAGGATCAGATTGTGACTTGTCCAGATTCCCACCACGACAGGCAGCAAAATGCTTAATATACAGTAACTGAGATGTCTTCAATTAGTCAAACTCACTCACTCTAAACCTTGTTGCACTGAAGACAGATCAGTCAGACAAACAAACAACTGCAGTGGAAGGCGGATTCAGATTTTTCACTAAGTCAAAGATACTACAAGATAACAATACTTTGGTAGAAGGAAAAGCTCCAGTGTAGCTGCTGTTGGGCTGGAGGTGAGGGTACTGTCAGGCAGGTTAATACAGAATTATGTGTCGTATTTTACAAACTGATTAATTATTTTGTTTGTAAAACCGGAATTTGCCAAAGAACAGCTTTCAAATTGATGGAGTGGTGTAAAAAGTACAATATTTGCCTCTGAAATGTAGTGAGATAGTATTAAAAAGTAGCATAAAACTGAAATACTACCTTAATATTTTACAATACTTGAGTAAATGTACTTGGTTCTACTCCATCTCTGATACTCACCCAGGTACTTGGGGTTCTGCCATGACGGTTGTGTTGTGTAGTCAAACGGAGCCAACAAGCTGTTGATCTCGTGAACCCTAGAGACACAACAAGATGAAAAAAATGTGCACAAGCAGCAAACAGGAGCAAAATTTCTAGGCCGGTCTGACTCCCAGTAGGTTTAATTAATGTTTGTGTTTGTGTTTGATGTGCTGAGCGTACCTGAGCAGTCCGATGCAGAGACTGACCACGATGTAGTAGAGAGAGTAGAAGCACACCATGCACATCAACAGATTCTGCAGGACGACCTGAGGAGAGGAGAGGACAGAAAACTAAACATTATACTATAACCTGCTGACTCTTAATGACCCCACAGGAATTTTATTTTATTTAAAACATGCTGTGTTTTAAAGGCGGCAGGTTTCCTGTAGTTCAGAGTTTCGTCCTGAGGGAGAGTGCAGAAAAGACTCTTTCTTATCTATAAAGTCAGTTGCTGATATCGTTTAATACTTGATTTATATTGTACTATGGTATATTACATCTTACTGCCAGTCAGTTGTTATTTGATCTTCCCTTCATTTGACTGTCGAAAAAAGATATAATTACTCCTTATGCTGATAAAATATCAGAATCAATTACATATATGAGAACTTCCTCCCCCTGTGGCGATGCTTGCTTCATATAAACAAAGCAATAACAGAGAGAGAGAGAGAGAGAGAGAGAGAGAGAGAGAGAGAGAGAGAGAGAGACTATAAAGACCAAGAGAAACATAAACCTTTATGCCAGTGTTTTTAATCTGAATAGAAAACTCTACATTTCATGTGTCGCAAAGCTGCTTCTCTCCTCCATTTCCTCCTTCTGTTCATGACCCAGAAAACTAACGCTCATGACAGCAGACAGCAGCAGACAGTCGGCGCTTGCTTGCTAAAGTCTCCTTTCATAGATGATTAACTGCAGCCTTTAAGGGAAATGAGTTACATGACACCCTCGGAGGAGAGATAAGAGACCTTTTGTCACAGCTGACATTTGGGGTTGTCAAACACAGGTGTGACTAATTACATTAATAATGGGCTGCATTCCAGTCAGGTGCGCCGGTGCTGGGGCCTGCGCGCTGGCTAATACTTGGCTCACTGTCACACCTTAAAGGAATGGAGATACCGTTAATCTTATTAGTTACACCTGTGCTTTCCCTGCTGTGACAGAGAGCACAGATAAGATGAAAGAACAACTTTCACTACACATTTCTCCAAATGTGTTGCACTTGAGTTGAGATCTTGTTACATGTCATGATGAGCAGTGACTATTAAGTCTTCATTTATTAATTAATCTGTAATTTTTATTATTATTTGGTTTATGTTTTCGCTTTTATAATGGAAGAAAATAGTGAGTGTCAAATACTTTGGTTTATGACCATTCTCATTAGCCTCAGCTGCACGTTGTAGTAGCAAATGTATGCATGCAAATGTAGCTAAATATTAGCATGTTAGCATGTTGACATTCACATTTAACTCAAAGCATCACTGTGCCTAATTACAACCTCCCAAATTCATTAGCATGGTCGTAGATTCAAGTGATCAACTAACTGTTTCAGCACTAATGACTATAGCATTTCATTTAGAGTTTATCTGTTGACATGACATTGTCTCGTTTATGATGCTAAGGTGCATTAACTACTTTAGTTTCATCCTCCTGTACTACTTTTTGCCTCCTCCTCTCCTACTCCAGGTTACTGGAAAATAGAGGTGACAAAACATCACAGGAATTCATGTCTGTATCCTGAGGCGGTGATTATAAATTGTGATTTGTTTTTAAACTGTGGCCCACATTTAATTTGGCCAGCTCAGTTGGAGCCACATGGGATCTATTTTTGTGCCCTGACCAGACAGGATGTGGGTGTGTCTGAAAGCAGGAAAGTAGCTGAGCTCATGCTAATACCCTCAGAGACAGCTAAACACCTTAGCTAACTCTCTGGTGTGTTTTTGTCATCTTCCGACCAGACAGTACTTTAACAAAAAAAAGACAGGTTTGAGACTTCAAATTCCCCGCTCAGCCCTGTTGAGTTTTGGTTGATTACTGAAAACCATGGAAGTAAGAAACAACAGTCTACTTGAGACAAACCTTATAAACTACACAGTTAAATGCTGAGTATAACTGTAACGAGGATGACATAATTCAAATACCAGTCAACAAACTGGAATAAATTGCCTGTTGTACTCCATTAAACGGCATGCAGCAGATGAAGTAAAGCCTAAACAATGGCAGCTCCGTAAATACTACATTGTCTTCAAGTAATCTAGTGGATTAGGTTACTAATGTTAAAAATCTATGAAAACAGACAGTACATTTGGTTACCAAGTACCAAATTATCTCTATTAGACATATTGATAAACCCCTTGCTGTGCATTGAGCCTCTGCCACCTTACAGGCGACTACAACGACAGACCGTAACTTTCTCTCCTAGCACATTTCCTACATTGTACAGAGTGTCCTTACCCAGGTATCACTGGGTGTAGTCTTGAGGGAGAAGGGTCCATGGCGTTTTATGAGTGTGAATCCACAACAACGACAGCAGTAGTCCAACAACATGAATGGCTGCTGGTCTATATGAGAGTATCTAGGCTACATGTGTTGTGTTTGTGTGTATGAGAGCATGTTCGGGGTAGGGTGGGTGTGGGGATTAGAAGAAATGGGATTACTACTAAGTAAGTACTGAGTAAATCCCAAAAGGGATAAAGTTGAACATAGTCTAGTATAGGTGTGCTCAAATACACATGATCCAAAAGAAGGAAACTGGTTTTGAGATTCAATACTTCAGGAGGCGCTGCTGTCCCTTCTGTTCTCATCCCTCCATCACGTCATTCAACTCTTTCCTCTTTCTACCATCCTTCTTCTTTTTCAGGTCTCCCATTGTGTCTATCTTGTTTTCTTTCTTCCACCACATCCTTCTCCTCTCCTCTCCCTTCCATCCTTCTGTTACTGCTTCATCTCCTACAAATACACTCTCCAAAGTAAAAGCATAAAGCAGGAGAACAGTTTGTGGGTATAAAGTAGAGCTGTCTTTTGTCTTTTAGTAGGATGAAAATAAACTATTTGAATATATCACCCTGTGCTTTGGGGAACTGTGATTTGAGTTTTTCACAATTTTACAAAATTTTATGGACACAACAATTCATGACTAATTATGGAAATACTTGTTGCAACCCTGTAGTGTAAAAAAGACATTTTCCACAACAAAATCAACTGACTGAGCTCCTGATACCAACACACAACAACTTAACATGACCTTCACATGTATTTTGAAGGTGTGTCGTGCTTGTAATGCAATCAAAACATCAAGAACGACCCTACTACACATCTTTCTAGCAGTTCTTCACATGAACACAAGGCGGTAGCACAGACTCACAAGCACAGAGAGAACAGCTCCACCAATGACAACAAGAACGCCACATTCACAGGACTGGAAGCAACAGATAAGATGCACCATTCAAATGTAGATTTCTGATATAAGCGTCATAAATCATTTTCCTCTGTGTTTATTTTTTAACAGAACAGAGGGAGAATCTGAAGCGGAGCGACAGAGAGAGAGAGAGAGAGAGAGAGAGAGAGAGAGAGAGAGATGAATAGAGAGAGAGAGAGAGAGAGAGAGAGAGCTTTCAGCTGCTGATCATCCATCATCTGTTCATGAAAATAAAGAGCAAGGGGGTGAAAAGAGAGCTAGAGAGTAGTGAAGAAAGCGATGGAGACAAAGTCAATGCAGACACGAAGACAGTTCAACATTTCCTGTCTGCCTCCAAAAATAGCTAAAGAAACTCAACTCTTCAGCGTCACAGCCTGCGCATGTCTCTATGTCTGTGTGTGTGTGTGTGTGTGGTAAGGTATATGCACGTGTGCCTTTGTATGAGTGTGGGGTACCACGTAACCTGCATCATTGTAACCATAGTGATGGAGAGCACAGGAGTTAGGGCACATGCAGAACAAGACGTCATAACTATTCTTCTCCAAGTATATGTGTGTGTGTGTGTGTGTGTGTGTGTGTGTGTGTGTGTGTGGTCTGGTTTTTTTTTTTTACTATAAAGCTCAGAGGAAACTAATCATACATATCTCTCAATATGCTTTTCCAATATAGGACTGAGAGATATTGGATCAATGATTCATTTTACTTTGATGTTAAAGTCCTTTCATTATCGTGCAGTGGTGTCGTTCCTTCCTCTGTGTAAGTGCAGTAATGACAACAGATGCTGACAGATAGGATTGCACACATTCAACAACTGGGATTAAAAGAAAAGTTCAACGTTTTATTTTCATATATACGTGCTTTAGCTGAGTTAGATGATAAGACTGATGCTACTCTTTACGTCTGTATGATAAATATGGGCAGCCAGTTAGCTTAGCTTAGCTTAAAGACTGGAGGCAGGGGGAAAAGGCTAGCCTTGCTCTGTTCAAAGCTAACAAAATCCAGGAAATAAGCCTCCCTGTAAACAGTGATATGTCATTTTTACACTTTGTTTTTTTGTAGAGATTAAATCAATGAGATATAAATGTTAGTATTAGTGAGCTTTAGAGGCGCTATTAGGTAGACTTTGTTACCCTTGAAGAGAATTAGACCAGCTGATAAACATGACAATTTCAAAAACACATTATCACCATGGTGACCCTAAATCCTTGTCTCAGTACCACATAGCCCAAGCTTAGCAGGGGTGAAATAACAAGAGCAGTGAAACATTTGCAGGACTTATGAATTATTAAGCTCGCACTAAACCTCAAATGACAAACATTTTTGCAAGGAGTCAAAATAAAATAAGCTATAATACTGGCAGCCTGTTTCCTTCAAAAAAAATTAAGTTAAAACAAATGAAACAGTTGCAGTACATTTAGAAACCTCTCTGAAACACGCTGCCAGTTCAAAGCCTATGAAGTATGAAAAAATGGGACTGATAAAGACAATTCAACAGTGAGCTCCTGTACCTAGAGAGTCTGTTTACAACTCAGGAGCGAGTTTAAACAATCTGTGATTTATCCATGGAGGCAGAGAAATGAACACACTGATCTTCTCATGATGCGTTTTCTTTTTTAATTTTTTCAAAATCAGTTCAACACACAGACAGGGGGAGAGAACACAGCGGATCATTGACCTACATGTCAGCATGGAGTGATGTAGGAGCTGAGAGGATGCAATTTCCATTCAGCGCGTGTGTGTGTTGTGTGTGTGTAGTACAGGCTTTTATGTCCCACAAACACAGTGAGACCTCGTAATTCATTCAAGATACAAAAATAGGCAACACTAACTAGAAGGGAAGAGAGGAGAGGGTTTCCAGGACGAAGAGAGAAAAACATGTATTTTGATCATTGGGTTTGAACAGTTTTTTTTGGTTTTGGACAAAACAAGATTTCACCTTTGATTTCTGACATTTTATAGAACAAATGATTAATATATCATGAAAATAATCACTAGTTGTCTAACATATTCCTTTCCTCCTCTGGACAATTCTCCAATCCCTAAACCTGAAATTACCTCTGTAAACCTCCCGTTGGCTCTCACCACTCCCCTGGCCTGTCAATCATCTTTTCATCCACTGACATACTCTCATTTCAAATGATCAAAAATACTCGAAACACACCTCTCTTATTTTCACCTCCTCTGCTTGTCCTTCCTCCCCAAGTCTTCCCTCTTTCCCCTGTCCTCCATCTTCCCCATTTTCTCTCCTCCCCCTCTTTCCTCTCGACTAAAGCTTCCCTTTAATAATTGAGCTGCAGACTCTTGACCACAACTGCTTACAATAAGTAGCCTATAACACAAAAAGCCAACACATTTTGCAAATTCCATAATCCCAAGTGGGCTTGTAAACACAAAATGTGACCGTCAACAATATAAGGCTTTGTTTTTCCTCGCCATTCTCTCCCACACTCTCTCTCTCCGCATCTCGGCTCTTGCCGTCTTCCTGTCGTTCTGTTTCTCTCTGCCCCTATCTACTCTGTTTTCATTTCGATCCTTTATGGAATGTAAATACAGCAACCGACTGACCACTGCACCAGGGATACTTCGACTTCAACATGAACCTCAACTAGCTGCTGGTACTGTATAAGTCTTGCCACATGCATTAGCTTGTGCGTCAAGACCACAAAAAAACAGAAAGAGCTGGGAAGTGTTGATGCTTGAGGACTCCACGGGGTCATTGTTAGTGTGTGTGGTACAGAGTGGGTGCTATAATAAGACATATGGTCCGGGTTAAGGTTAGGCATGTCATGGTCAAGGTTTGAGGTCCAGGAGTGTCCTAATGATTGTGTCTGAGTGTTTCTTCTGTGTGCACATGCTCAGCTATATGACTCTGCCCTCAGGGTGTTCATTTCTTACCAACTTAATCTCAGCCATCTGAACAAATAATAGTCCCTCTGTCTCACTCTCACACACACACCACCCACACATACAGACACACACACACATACACACTTATAGTTTATTGCTCAAAAATCTGCCCAAATGTCTGTCTTACATTCTGCTTACCTCGCTCCAGCTCATGTACTTTCACTGAGTAACTTCCAGCAAGTAAATACAGGAAATAACACACATGCCAACATCTGCAACATTTTTGCTGCCCTCTGTGTGTGTGTGTGTGTGTGTGTGTGGAGACAGAGAAACTGGACAAAAACACAGCGCTCAGAGATTGTTAATAACTCCTAACCTCTGAGGTCTTGATGTATATCTCACATGAACACACCAGGAGTAACTTATGCCAACGCTGCTGCTGTCAGACACATAAAACATACTTTTCTTGCTAATACTGTAGTCAAAACCCTGCTGCTTATTGCTCTCATAGAAATACATTTAACACCACAAGATGATCCATTTTTTTCTCCTTGCTGTACATCAGCAAGACCTCTCTCTGTGTTGTCCCCGAATATCAGTCATCCCCTCATCATCTGCGCCCTACACATGCAAGAAAAGCATGGCACAGTGCCTCGCTTCCCTCCATAAACACAGATACACACACACACACACACACACACACACACACACACTACATACACACATGCATACACAACCACTACCTTCCCAGCATGCAAACCAGTCACCCCCATCGCTCTCTCACTCTCTCTCTCCCCCCCACACACACGCACATGTGAGGAAGCCTCTCACATTCCCACAAGCGTAGAAGCGCTTTGGAGGAATTGGATGGAGCTGCCGCGTCTCTCTCCGGCTGAGAGGGATAAAAACACGCTTTACTGGCTGGTGTACACTGCCCGCTATTTTCCTCAAAACGCAACAGCTTGCTGCTTCTTTTCCTTCGTTCTTGACGTGAAACCAAGTTTTTAGACGCGAAAACCGGAATAGCGACAGTTTTACGCATTAAGGCAACCAGGAAGGACATCACACGAGTGGCTTTTGTGGACTTTTTTTTCCCGCCTCAAATAAACAAGGAGTACAATATTTTTCCGCGGGGAATTACAAGCTGAGCATTCACGACTTTAACGAGGCGGCATGTGATAACGGATTTTCCCTCAGTCGTAATTAGGAGCGTGTTTCTCCGTCCCCGTTGTCCTGAGCGCACATACTCTCCATATGGCGTAAAACGTGCTCCGCGCTGATAAAAGTCATCTAAAAGAGACACATTTTTAATTTGACTCAGACAAACTGTAGGTATGTCAGTACAGAGTCTCCATTAAAGACCTTGGATGTAGTAAAGACTGTGCTGCTGTTTCCCAGCCCTGCATGGGAGCTGTCTCCTGTCATCTTCATTTTCTCCGGCATGGCATTTCAGTGGAAGTAGCCCTCAGAGTGGAAGATGGTTTTTTACCCTCCCTCAGGTCACAGCCGGACCCCCCTCCATGCCTAATGGCACAGTGACAGTGAAAACTCGTCTTTTGTGAAGGTTAGTAGTGAGCTGTGTTTGACCTCTCCAACTCTAAACACTCGCCATGAAACGATTCAGGTTGGCAGCTCCACAGTCTATCTCTTCATTTCCATCCATATTTAATTGGGTTTTGTTGAATATTTGATGCACAGGGAAGTATAACATCAGCCATCAGCCTCTGACAGACTGACGGTCTATTAGTAGCTACATCTACAGTAATTGTCATCTTTCTTCTGTAATTTCATTGGACAGGATCATCTTAAGTGTTGTCTAGTTGAGCCTATTGTGTTTTGACCATGTGTTTTATTAAGTGACTGATTGAGAGGAGGGACTCTTATGATCTCTTCATTGTTCTTGATCTCATAATAATTCCTCTAGGAATACATGATGGCAATATTTACACCTTCAAAGAAGGGTCAAAGGTCATCATTAAAGAGTCAACAGTCATTTTCAGTGAGCCTTTAATGTTAAACCCTCCCATACAGTCATTATTTAATACATATATAAATACTCAGCTTTGAATAAGACTGTGTATGGGGTCTTTTCTCCAAAAAATCTTAAAAATTTCACCTGCTCCTCCCCCCTCATTAAAAAACAATCAGAATCTATAAATATACAAATGTTTTTTGTTTCAAAAGTTTAACTACTGGACACAGAACGTCTCCTATTTCACTTAAAAAGTCAATTCTTGCAGTATTTTCTCTGAATGCTACACGTTTCAACATCACACTCACATCCAATGATCATGATTGGCTTCCAGTTGTGATGTCACAAAATCCTGCTCATAGGTTCACGTGTTAAACTCGGATTTAAGGAGAGCACAAGGAAACTTGATGAATGTGAAAACAGCTTTTTAGAGCCAAGCGCTGCTCATAAATGAAATCGTTCTGCACCGTCAGGGTCACACATCCGCGTAGAGTCACAATAAGCAAAACACATTTTACAGTGAAGAGGAATTTTAACAACAGATGCTCTGTCACTGTGAATTAGGAGTAACTCTCACCTTGAGAGCCGTTTAAAAAACAAGGATAACTCACAGAGCCAAATGGCTCGTAATGAGACATCTCTCGCTGCCAAACATTTTACACAGAAATGCACCCGAGTTTAATTTGAGATTCATTAAGAACTCAGGCGACATATCGACTAATCCTCCTTCACAGATATCAAGCTAACTGGATAATCCTGTTTAAACACCCCTCTGGTAGGTCAGCACTAGCTTCACTTTGTCACTACAGACGTTGATGTGCAAGCCCAGATTTCCTCCTAGAGACCCCCATCTGAGGAAAATATTCTACTTTATCTGATTTGAGGCAGAATTACAGTTTGCTCTGACAGTGTTTCAACAGCCAAATTGAATAAGAAGTTATCTTATTGAAAACAAAACATTAGCAGAATTCAATTATTTCTTAAACTGTGGAGAACGCGCCTCTAGTATCCCTACATGGACCCCACACAGGTCCCAGGTCTCCAGTTTGCGTATCACTGCTGCAGGGCAGACGGGGACACCTCGTGCCTCAGGATGTGGAGTGTGGGTGACTGACTGACAATCGCGACTGTGAGGAAGACAGAATGAGTCATTTTGCACAGATCAACAGGGGGCTCACTCCAGTACATCAACACACACACTATCTCACACACACACACACACACACACACACACACACACACACACACACACACTTTTGACTGGAGCATCTTCTGATTCAATTCAGAACTTAATTCAATTGAGTAGAGCTGAATTTATCACAGGAGGTAATGACATTGATTCAGTGTGAAGGAAGCCGAGACTTTAAAAAAAGAAGAAAAAAAAAAGAAAAGGGATAGGAAAAAAATAAACAAGATGGTGAGGAGGGTGCTGGATTTGACACTTGAGTGGTTGCATCAGAAAATGCACTGCCAAAAGGTCAGTGGGAAAACACAAAGTGACATATTCTCCAGACATATGACTCACCCTTGACAGTTAGTCTGTAGGAGTAAAGCAATGCACAAACACACGCTCGCTATCTGTTTATACTTTGCTTATTCTTTTTTTTTTTCCCTCTGATACAAATTCCTCCTCCTCGATCTGCACCGTGTTTTCTGTCCTCTTTTCATCCCTCGCCTCTTTTTTTAATGACAACCAATTTCCAAAGGAACTTGGGATCAAATAAAAAGGAAACATGAAACACCTTTTAATCCCATAAACCAAATGGCAGTCTGCTTCCCCCGGGTGAGCAACGAGCCCAGGATATCAGGCTCAAGTGATCTGATTATTCAGGAGCCACAATCAGCCAGACCAAAACTAACAGTTATAATCACGGTGGAAAACGAGATGATGAACACGGTGAACCGATTCAACACTGGAAGATAGGATAACTGCTCCCAGGACTGTGTGGGTGTGTACAGACTGAGCTTAATTGACATCTTCCTCTCTTTCCTGTTGGCTCCTGTTGCACTTGTTTAGGGAGGGGAACTTACACTTTCATTATTCCTTCTGCTAATGCAGTTTGCCAAACTCATGTAACTCCCACTGTACCTCACCCACCTTCAGTCTGAGGGGAGGGGTAATGTCGCCTTCTCGTCGAATCTTTAGCAGTTTCTTATCTGTAAATCCTCTTCAAGTCAACATCTGAGTTATGATTATGACTTAGAAAGTTGTTTTTTTTTTTTTTTGGGGGGGGGGGTCTCTATTATATCCATATGTTGTATGATGACATCATAAACGTGTTATCATCTCTACCATGGAGACTGTGAATGCAGCATAATCAAGCAGAATAACTGAAAACATCTGTGTGTCTGTGCATTTTCGGATTCATCTTATGGTTTAGTAACTTTAGGCTCAGAAAGAACAGCTTGTGCAGAATTTTCAGTTTGGCCTAGTGACAAGTTTAGGACCGTAACATATCTGGGTTAACTATCAAAGGGCACAGATTGTAGAGGAAGTCTTTATCTTTTGGGAAAACATCTGCTTTAGTTCTCTCTTTAGTCAAGGAGAGCCGGGCCTTTCCTTCAAACAACAAACCATCTCACATGGGAGTTGGCTGGATTAGCTGTCCTCGCCCTTCTTCAGGACAAAACTAGTGTCACAAGTGACAAGAAATGCAGCAAAAGCCAGTTGGCCATATCAATCCACGCTGACAGAATATTCCACAAGACATACACCAGCTTTTAAAAAAGAAGGAAAAGTCTGGAGTTCAGCAGACAGAGGAGGGCTGTTCGGGACATCTGGGACATTTTTGTTTCTCTGCAGCCATCTTTGAACTCTGACCTTTCTGGAAAAGCAGGGATGAGCAAAGTAAATTAGTGCCACGTGTGGCTGATCTTTTCCTGGTGCAGGTCACATCATGTGTTTATAATCCATGTCACAGCTTTGTGTCATATGTCATCTCATCGCTGTGTTCCACCTTGCCTGTCACATACTGCATACCCATCTTTAAAGGATCATAATAATTGTGATGTAGCATTGTTTCAAACTGCTGACCATTTTCTAAAGCACATGACACAGATTTTAATTTGTGACCTTCTGCGTTATAGGCGGCTGTCGGTTTCCCTTCAGTGAAAATCACCTTAGAACAATAACACATCCTTAGATACACTGTCATTATGGAGAAATGCAATTGCTGCGGGGTCTGCTTTGGATACTCATCCATATTAGTGTGTTTATGGGAGCTTCATTATGGACATCCAACATTTGAGAGTCAGCTGCCAAAAAGCATTACATCTGTGAGCAATTTTGTCCCCCCAAAAAAAGCAAACACGGCTAGCGCAGGAAGGATCATGTGAACTTCTTCTTCCATTATAGGCTGATAGTTTTTGGAAGGCACCAGCTAAGAGGATCGCAGATCGTAACTGCATTTCCTCCCAGCTCCCATTTGGTAAAGTAATTATCTGCTGATTCATGCAATACAAAGTGTACACAGTTTGCAGTTAGTGAAGTAAACACAAAAAAAAAAACAACCAACAGTCTGATCCTTTAACACTTGATACTGTACTGTATTGTACTATACTGTACTATACTATACTATATAATACAATACTATACTATACTATACTGTACTATACTATACTATATAACACAATACTATACTATACTATACTATACTATACTGTACTATACTATACTATACTATACCATACAGTATTATAGCTACTATAATTTATTGGACCTAACCTTTAATGGCAGACAGGCAGAGTTATGACAGCAGTTCCACTGAATAACTTAGTTATATTTCACTTGAATAACAAGAAAACACATTCCACTATATTCCTCTGTCTATGGACGTATACCTTTCTTTTCCACCACCCTGAACTGTGTTTGTGCTTGACTGTGGCGTAGGTGTACTTTGAAATGAAACACTTAAGTTTGACCTGGGCATTAAAACACTTGACAGTCTCTTTATTTTATAGTACTTCAAGGTAAAAGTGGTGTCAAGAACTGGTTGTACTAAAATCAGATACCGTTCCACCAGGCTTTGGAAAAGAGCAGGAAGTAAACTGCACTGAACATTTGCCAAACTTCACATTTTTCCAAAATACACCGAGACAGGACCTAACCCTAGTGTTTTTTGGAGGGTAGTCTTCCATGTTTCCATGTTTGACTCTCAGCTCCATGATATTATGGCAGGTGACCTTAACTGCAGCAGCAGGGGGCTTGTCTGTCTCTCCATTAAAGTCCAGACCAGGAGGAAAAAAACAATAGTTATACAGTCCCTTTTTTCACATTTATTAGAGCAATTTGGCCTGAGTTAATCTTACCAAAGCAGTTTATGACATAGAAAAGAAAACACATGACCCACTCTAACTATAATGGGAGACATACTGTAATGGATGCCAATTTTTCTCTCCCCACCAGGCTCCATTTTTATCTTCCTACTCATTCCTCTCTTATTACATCTCTCCTTGCTGCTTTCCTTCTTACGCCATCTGTGTCCATATTCGATGTCTTTCTCCATGACGTGTTAGTACACAACTCACTGAAGTGACTCATTTGAGACACACTTTTTCTCAGCCTGCTTCTAGAGTCAAAAAAAAAGTCTCTGGAGTTTGTTACATGTAGATCAAAGCACCTCCTCTTTTCTCTTTCTCCCTGTCTTCCCCCTCCTGATTTTCTTGCATCTTTACTTTCCTCCGTATCCTACGTCTTCTCTTTTTCTGTCTGCACCATCTGCCTTGTTCGCTTTCCTCTTCCACTCTCTTAGTGGTTTCCTCTGTAATGTGTGGGACTAGAGACGGCAGAACTGGAGTGCTTTAGCACAAATCGCATAAACAAGATGTAATTAACACCCTTAACGCAATGCTAACACTAGAGAGTCAGAAAATGCAGGTTTTTTTTTTTTTTTTTGCAAGCACCTTTCATGCCAAGCTCTCTGTCGCTCTCACCCTCTGTCTTCATCGTTGGTGTCTCCCTTTCACCACCTCCTCTTCTCATTTCATCCTCCTTCCCAGTTCCCTTATCTCTCCCTCCATTCTGTCCCCAATTCTCCTCCAGCATCTTTTACTGCCCCCCCCATCACACCTCTATAAAATAGCTGCAAAGGACCATATGCTCTGACATGAACATTTGTTTTTGCCCAATATTTGCACATAGAAATAGAAATATAACTGAAAATGATATATGGGAAATGTCCCTTTGTTGACAGGATACAGTCTTAATGATATACCTGTCATTCCTGTGCACACATCTGGTAGTTGCTATAGAAACGTGTCACCTAGCAGCGGCACATGTAGTTGCTATAGGGACAATGCGTCATGTGACGTCTCCTATAGATTAGGTTACTTGTCGTTATCGTGCTACAAAAGGCATCTCCTCGCACAAAGACGCAGCACATGCAGAGCAGTTTCACACAGGAAGTGCTACAGTGTAGAAGGTGAAATGTCTGCTGATGTAGTGGGAATTTTTATTATTATTATTTTCTTAATGTAACTCATGTAAGAGTGTCAGTAAATGGTTAAATGTCACTAGTAGGAGAGTAAAATCTGCTCCCTGGAGGGAGGAAGCTGTATTAAATTGTGTTAATAGTTTTCTTACTTTGTGTATGCACAGATAAACAGCGGAAGCAATTTAGTCATTATTAAGGGGATCACACGACAGCTAATTCATTATTCATTTAACACTAATTTAGAAAACTGCTCATCAAGGCAGCGAAATGGAAAATAAAGCAGTGGATTTCGCATTATTTATAAGTTTTATCTGATAGGAGGTGAAAAAAAACTAACATTAATATTCATAGAGTCTGTGCATGATTAGCATGTGATAATTTCAAAAAAAGAAAAAAAAGAAAAAAAAGAAAATGTTGCAGAAAACAGCAAGTTTTCTGTCCTCTAAAGACTAAAACACAAAACACTGAAGGATTATTTCATGAAGGTATTCTGCTGCCATAAATAAGGTTTACATAGAGTATCAACAACCAGGTGTGGAGCACCTGTCACTTCATGTGGTCACTGCAGATTCTCCACTATACAAAGCCTTGCTGTGTCAGAGCCCGAGTGGTTTTTCATTAGGCTGTCGGCGTGTCTGTTAGGACAGCATTTCGTTGTCTCTGCACCACTTATTTCTTACACCAGCCTTGTTAAAACTACACATGCACTAAGCTTGTTTTCTGCCTCTGTCCCGTCAAAGGCAGGAAAAGCACTTCACTTTCCTCTCCTCTACTGTCAGGCCTTCCTGTCTTCTTTCCATCCTCACTTTGTCTCCTCTAAACAAGCTTCAAAACAGTTTTCACCATTGTTTTTTCAGTGTAGGCTTTCAGTCTCTGGTTATGACTCAGTGTTGCACCCAGGTAGATGCACTGTTGCAAATATCTGCTTCTATATCCTTCTTGCTTTTTTTTTTTTTAACCCTGTTCTTCTCCTGTTCCTGAGTCTCTGTTGTGATCTTTTCCTCTCATGTTTTTTGTCACCTCCTGTCTCCTTTCCTCCTGCTCTCCCATCCATCCTTTTCTCTACTTTCAGTAAACGGAGGAAATCTCTCCCCCTGCTCTTGAAACATTGTGTGGGTTCCTGTCTGACGCACACTAAGGAACGAAAGGAGAAAATCAAGTAGAGAGAGACAGAGTGAGCGAGAGCGCAGGAAAACCAGAGAAGAGAGGCTGGTTGTGTTTGCCCTTGTGTGATTCACCATCTGTGTTAAATCACTTTCCTACAGCAGTGTTACCAATATGATGATTGGCATGAAAAGTACATTAAAAAGAGGAGAGGAGGAGAGAGCGTCTGGTCTTATGTGTGATTCACTGTTACTTTAAAAGCTCTGTCTGACTTAGAATCTTAAATCAGACTTTACGGCTTTGAGATATGGAGATGAAAAGAAAGGAAGGAAGTGAGAAAGAGGACCAAATAGAAGAAAATTAAAATTAGAGACAGATTAAAAATAGATCCAAGAGGACAGAGGGTGGAGGATGAGAGAGACAAACAGAGAGAGATAAGATGAGAAAGTCAGCTGGGGTGGAGGAAAAGGAGGCAAGGAGAAGGAAAAAAAAAAAAAAGATTCAGGGTCACAACCAGAAAGCATAAGCAGACAGACTGAGGGTGAAAATGGAAGAGAGAGGGAAGAAAGAGAGATGGAGGGAGATATGGAAGCAAGGAGGGAGAGACAAATTATAAAATAGGCAGACGAAGGTCATGGGTGTGTTCTCATTCCCATGCTAAATCTGTTATTTCCCCTTATATACACAGACATGCACAGACGTACACACAAACTGGCACCAAATTAATACACTCACTGTGAAACGTTTACCCCCCTGCATCTGAAGATAATGCATCGCGAGCACATTCAACTCCAGATAACGTCTCACAATTGTATTCTAGCTGCTAATAATGCATCACAGTCCCATTTCAGAATCTTTTACTCATGACCTTAGTGAGTCTCATACCCCAAAAAATAATACTCATGGTTATTGACATTTGATGTTTTTAAAATGTTCTACAGCAGCAGAACATTTAAAAATGTCAGGAAGGTTGTCAGCAGGAACGCTGAACAGAGCTACAGCTATTCACTGGTGATCGTGTGGCAGCTGAGCCTGAACTGCCGCGGATCACTCTGGTGACATTATGTCAGCTGTTTTATATTTTCATCCACAATTTCAAAGTTCAGGAACAGAGCAAGAAAATCAACCTGTAGCTATGAAATTACTCTGAAGAGTAATACTTTGAATTTCCATTCAAATTCTCTACCTTCTAATATTGTAATATAGTCTATTTAATCCTCTTAGTGCTAAACAAGACAATGCTAATGTTCATGAGCCCAGATTAACAGGCATTTAAACCCAAATGAAGACTCTCAAAATAAGCCTGTGTTTGTTTTAAGACCTCCTCCTTCTAATAACTATTAATAGACATCTGAGCAGCTGGTGAGCAGAGAGACTATGATTCATTTGAATATGATGAACTGCAGGTCCGCATTTCCTGTTTTATAACAGCAACAACAATGTAAATAATGCTAATAACGGCAACAATAACAATGCAAATGCAGTAAATACTGGATGTAAATCAAAATAAATAAACTACAGTCCAAGACAGTCTGTGTGTCTGAGTTACTCTCTCATACACACAGGAAGAACACAGTAAACAAACATCCAGCAAAAATAAATGTATGACACGCGCACACATGCACACGCCTGTCGTGTCCACATTATCTTCAAAGCTGACATTCAACAACAAAACATCGACAGTGAACAGAGCGTATCGTTGTACTGGGTGTTTCGTATGTGTACGTCTATCACTGCCTGGCTGTAAATAGCATTTCTTGAACTTGGAGAGACGTCGGAAGTCTGACACACATTCCCTGTAAACGTGTGTAAAAAACCTGTCACCTGCAGCTTTGCAAGAGTCACTGCTGTAAGTGATGTGACACTCTTGTATAAAATAAGAGAAACAGAGCTGTGATCCTTGGAGCTGGTTCAATCTGCTTGATTGTGGGAGATGAATATTGAGCGTTTTACACCTCCTATATTCAGACCATCTGGGAGACTTTGGCTGTGTGGAATGCATATGTGAATGTCTGTGTATCTGTGCCTCTACCAAATGGATGTTTTTTTTTTTGTTTTTTTTATGAGTTGCATCTTTTTGAGTGTGTGTACAAAAGACCAGAAAACATCAGCTCTAAGTCACTGGTCCTCCCGCGGCCTTGGGCACAAACACACCCTCACAACAGATGCTGGACATACAGTACATTTTACACTCATGGCTAATGTGTATCTGCATGTGTACCTGCAGGTTAAGTATGACGGCAGCAGCAGGTGTGCTAACAGGCTTGGCAAAGCTAAAACGCCAAGACTCTGCCCGCTCTCAGCACCGACCCATACCACCTACATCCCCAGGCCTGGGAAACCCCGCCCCAGAGGCCGCCCCCAGGTGATCATCTGAGCCTTATTTTCACAAACTGAATGTTATTACAAAGGTTGTTAGGACCTGTGACTGCAAATAAACTTTTTTTATTAACTACACTATGTGACAGGAAACTGGTGAAAAGTACTTCTATGTGATTCATGAGCTAAACTGGTTTTAATGTTACAAAAAAAAAACAGTACTGACTTTTTGTAACATTCCTTTGTGCCAGATGTTAAGGTCCTTGCAAATGCTTTTGAATCTCTACGGTTTAGGCTAGTTTAACATCATTGTATGTCACTACATTTATGTCTCCAAAACCTACTGACTGTGTTTTCTTTACAAACTTTCCATTTAGAAAGAGAAAGCGACGCACTGATGTTGTGGTGGTACGCGGCAGGCTCCGCCTCTACTCCGCCTCTGGGTTTTTCCTTCTCCTCGGACTGGTCATCTTAGCCATAGGGATCGGCATGGCGACACTGGGTTACTGGCCGCACAGTGAAACCATGCCCTCAGCCAAATCGGTGACCCGAGGGGGATCTAAGACAGCTACTGCTGGAGGAGCCAAAACATCTTCCACAGGTGATGGAAATGGGGCTCACATATCTGTCACAGACGGGGAAATGGCTAACTCCAGCACAAGTCATAATGTGCAAGGTAAGGAAAGAACAAGGTGATCACAATCTGATTTTCTGACTCCTAATATTAAATGGCTCCAATCCTCCACGTCTTGTGCACATAGGTACGCCCTCCAAGCAGACCGGGGGAGCTCTGACACGCTTCCTGGAACAGCATCGGCACTCTGAGAGGATGAAGATGTTCGGGCCTTTCACCATGGGCATTGGGATTTTTATCTTCATCTGTGCTAATGCCATACTTCATGAAAACAGAGACAGAGAAACAAAGGTATGGTGGAAATTAGCAGATCCACTCACACATACTGAAACATACATCTGTTTCTAAGTGGACACGGTGAAGTCAAATACTAGAATTATTCATAGAATTTGTGGGTCATCTGACACAGAAACTGAATTTAGAAAAGTTTCTGAGCTAATATTTCACACAGATTCATATTAAACACAAATATAAAGATAAGTCAGTAGAACTTGTAGTTAATATTCCTTTCCTCTCCTGTATTCTCATTTCTGTTCTGCCTCCACTCTCTACAAAGTGAGGAGCATGTACACTGCAATCATCCATATTCATCATCTCTACATAACTAAGATGCAGATCAGATTTCCTCCAACCTCCTTCCACCCTTATCTCTGTTCCTCTGCTCTTTTGCCCTCTCCTTCCCCTCCCTGATTCAATTCATCCCCACTTCCTCCCTTCCAGGTAATCAATGTGAGAAACAAACAAACTGTACAAAAACAAAACTGTAGAATAATAATTGGTTGTGGTGGAATATTAAATATATTGTCAGGTCATCCAAAGATGAATACTACTGCTGCTTATAATATATTCTTCTTCTGCACTAGATAATCCATATGAGAGACATGTACTCCACAGTCATTGATATCCATCGCCTCAGGCAGAAAGAGCAAAAACAACAGCATCACCGCAACAGCACCTATGCCCGAGAGGTTGGCGACCTACGAACCTTTGGAGCTGCCAGCAACTCCCTTCTGGCCTTCTCCTCTCGGGCAGGGGGAATTGCCGGTGGGGGCTCTACAGAGGATGAGGTGCTGTTAGGGGATGAGGAGTTTCACAAACACAGGGATCAGGCTAAGTTGGATTGTAGCTTCGCAGGCCTGCTGGCGCCGCTCTACAAGGATCGTCCCTTCTGTGGTCCAGGGCTCGGGCTCACTCACTCGGATTCCATTCGACATCAGTGGTCGGTGGACGGAGATGGGGAGAAGGGAGGACACCATGCTCGCTCAATTGTCTCCTCCTCTATCTCTGCATTTACCCTGCCCGTTATAAAACTCAACAACTGCGTTATTGATGAACCGGAGATGGAGGTGATTACTGAGGAGGACAGAGGAGGAGAGAGAAGAGAGGGAGAGAGGTCACAGCCCCTGAGCTCCATGGAGTCTCTGGCGGTCCCTGTAGCATCTGTTGCCAAGGCCTCCAAACCACCGAGCTTACACCGGAGTAACTCCGCCTCCTCCTATTCCCACTGCTCCTCTATCTCCTCTTCCTCCCTCTCCCCTGCTCCCTCCTCTACCTCAGGCTGCTGGCTGTCCCCTGGAGCAGCAAGGAGTGACTTTGGCTCCAACTCATCTCTGCAAATGCTCAGCAGCCACTCCAAATCTCTGGACCTGGAGCGCGGGCCCAGCATGCTCAGCGTGCATCCGGAGCAGCGGAAGCACCCCAGCTGGCCCCGCCTTGACCGTAGCAACAGCAGCCGCAGTAACAGTGGCAACCGGGGCAGCAGTAAAGGCTACATGCGGCTGGAGGACAGGGAGGAGCAAGGGGAGCGGCTGCTGGATGTGTCATCGTCTGTGACAGCGAGGCGTGACTACAGTAAGCGTGAGAAGCTGCTAATGATATCGAGGTCGCATAATAATCTGAGCTTTGAGCATGATGAGTTTAACAGCAACACACTGAAGAGAGGCAGCTCTGAGACTCGATTCTGAAGGTCCTGAAGTAAAGGTTGTTCTTTTTCTGTAAATTGCTCTCCAGACAGTCTGAGTGTACAGTGTTTGTGTCAGGGGGAACTGACGAGTGTAACAGCTGCACCCCGGAGAGAGGAAACACTAACGTGGTTTCAAAAACACTTTTTTGCGCAGCAGGCTGGAGAGTAGTGAATGATGGACCGTCTTGTAAAAGGACCATCAGTAAAAGGTTCAGACCTCATGTCAGCGAGACACTGAATGCCTACTGCACCAGGTCCAGTGGTGCTGTTCTGTAGCCGACCCTGACCTGTGACCTCTGTGGAGGGAGGCAAGGGAAGGGAGAATCTTTCTACAGGGATGAAATAAAGAAAGTCACGATACATCATCAGTTTACTTTATACAAAAATAGTTCTTGTAAGTTTGAACAGGATATCAACCCTGAGACGAGGCTTTAGGATCGATACTGTTTCATTGTAACAGGCTTTGAAAATTGCTTTTTGGTGACAGGATTACATTCAGGCAGCTGCTGTGAAATCAATGACAAATTGAAAGAGCTTTGAGCAAGTTTTCTCAGTGACATAAAAGCAAATTCTTTATAACACAGCCAAGACCAAACCTGAGAAATGAGCAAGACCAGTTTAATATCAGAAGAAGAGAAATATTTATCTATACCGCACGTTTGAAAACAAAGCTACAAAGTGCTTAATAAGGTTGTATAGAGAGACGAAGGCTGATGATGGTAATTTTCAATTAACACAGATATGACAACTAAACTGATCCAGAACCGGCTGGTAACTTATTACCCGGTGTAAACCTGTGTAAGAGCATGTAACAGAATACTGCAGTGACAAGGCTCCTAAGCCCAAAAGATATAGATATTAGTGGTAAGCTACTTGTTTTCACTGTGGTTACAGTGTTTGTCTGATCCTCAGACTGTAGTAGATATAGAGACTGGGCCACACAAAGAGCAAAGTCAGACAAAGTCGGTTACTTCAATGTCAGTAGGCCAGAGAAAATCGAGCTGACAGGCTGGAAAATACAATAACAGAGTCTGTGTTACCCTGCAGTCACAATTTTACTGCCCTTTCTCTAGAACTGTAGTAGGAAGTTTTGTATGTCCACTACTGAAAAATGGACTTAACAATCACTGTCAGTTTATTTCTCACTAAAAAAGATTGTGATTGACTTCACTCAGGATATGCAGTGTATTGTTTGTATATTGATCATTTTTGTCTCTTCATAAACCTATTTAGTAGAAAACCCTACTATTTGAGTATTTGTAGACCAGAAGTCTGATGATTAGGTTTGTAAGTAATGATTTTTCTGTGAACACATTTACCAGAGCTCAAGTCAAACTAGAAGTCAAAAAAGTTATTCAATTTATAAAGCAAATAGTCACATCTGAGGCATTTCTGCTTCACAAATTACTTTAACAATTGAGCTATTCGGATTGTCATCGATTCATTTTAGGCTCTGCATGACTGATTGAAGACTACCTGATCAGTATAAAACAGTGATGATAGAGTACTGATTTTGCATTGAGCCGACACTAAATCACTACATACACACCTATCTTTATAAATCCAGGGACTTGTACACAATGAAATGTCAGCCATGCTGTTTTCCGTCACATTTCTCATTTGGCGACAAATCTTTTGTTGCTTTTTTAAAAATTTTTTATTCACCGTGTGATGAAGATCGGAGAATTGAGTTCAGGAATTCAGCTACTGAGCGTCATTGTAATAATGTCTCAGAATATGATCTTTTCTCATTACGTCATCACATGTTGGAAGTGTGTGTCCGAGCCGACATGATGCGTCTGTATTGCTCAATAGCTGTTTCATATTCTGTTTTGCTGTCAGATTGAACACATCTGTAAATGTTGTTAGGAATATGTTCTGTGCTGCTTTTAATGAAAGACATGTGAAGAGTAACACATGTTGTCATTTTGAAATCTAACCTGATGTGTGGTGAAAAAGACAGAGCCCCTTTTAAGAGTACAGGAATCTTACCAGAGAGCTTCATTAACTGGTCCCCAGCAGTTTATGGGTCAATGTCTAATTTTGTCCTCTCTGAAAATAAACTGTATTTTCACCGAAGCGTGTTTTGTCCGAATGAGTGTATTTAACCAGTGCCGATCCCTACACATGGATTCACACATAGCTCTTCTATTGCTTTTCTCAAGGGTTAGTGGAAGGCAACAGCAGGTATACACACACATACACACACACACACCAACATATCATCCGACCACACACCTAAACACAACTTCCCGATACATCACTAATTCATTTTTCTCTATCTATTTCTTGCTCCTTCTTTCTTTGTCTCCTGCACAGAAAATAATAAGCAAAGGTCAAGATGAGTCATCAACAATTATCATATGCTCTGTAGCTTTGTGAGATAACCACACACATACACACACACACACACACACACACACACACACACACACACACACACACACACACACACACACACACACACACACACACACACACACACACATACAAAAGATTGTACTCACATGAAAGCAAGTATCATATTCCTCCTCAAATGCAAATATAAAGACACAAAAGCATAAATATTCACACACGCATATACATGCTTACAATCCAATTCAAAAGATGCAGGCTGATGATGCTGTCTCTGTCTGTGTTACCGAGGGAACAGATGATAATCCTAACCCTTTCCGAAGGCAAGAAACATATTTAGGTAGCAGAGATGGGTGATGTCACATCATGTTAACATTAAGCAGGTAAACTAAAATTACCTGGTTGAGGGTTTCCGTCAATCTCTTTGTTAAACGAGCTGAGGGTTTACTGTAAGTCTGAAATATTTTTGAAACAACAGTTTTGCCTTCAGCGGTTGACTCAGTGTTGTTGTTTTAATCACATAATGTTGGAGCACCTTGTTGCCAGGAAACATTAGGATATAACCTTGACCTTGTGTCCATCCACTATCATTAAAAAAAAAGCTATATAGGACAACTGTGACCCCACACCCATTACAGTTTCAATCACAAACAAGCCTTGTTGTTCTGAAGGTTCTATCAAAGTCAAATGCACAAATGCACTTGGGATACAAACCTTCCTCTAACTACATTTTGGTTGCTAAGCAAATCTCTGTGCTTGCCCTGTTGAGACAGATGGTTGACCAGTGAAAGCAACTGAATCATCTAAATCCAAGTGCCTTTCCTCAGTAGTCCTTGCTGCTTCAACAGGTGGTGTATCCAGGTCTGTGTGTGTTTACTTCCTGAGAGACATCGTGACCAAACTGAGCACGACACACGCTCTGCATCATCTGTGTTTGTTCAGTCCCGAGTTGATGTGTTACGGGGAGACAGCTAATGCCTTTTCACCTCTTCGCCTGTGTCACATACTTCAGCTAACAGAGGGCCTGTGAGCCTGTTATGAAGATACTCACAGTCTTGCAGCTTTCTGTAAATTACGAGACGTGCGTAAGCTTACTAATACAATTTTCATGTTGCCGCTTAGCAAGGCTCAGCTTATTGACTTGCTGTAATATCTATCTGTTTAAGAATAAGGCAGGGGATATTACAGTGTATATATATATATATTTTTTTCATGAGAAGACTAAACCCAGCAATGAATTTATCCTACAAACAGATGTTGTCTATGTACACTGTTATACTGGGTGATATGTTCCTTCATTATGATGAACACGGGCACTGTACAGTATTATAAGTCAGTCAAATATACAGTACACCAACCTGAAGCTTTAAGTACAACAGCACCAAATTTGTATTAATCCACAGAAGAGAATAGTCCCCAACAAACAAACTATTTACTTCGGTTTCAGTAATGTTTTCTAAAAACTACAGAGCCCAGCTGTTTTAGGAGAGCTTAGCCTAATTTAAAAAATTATAGTAGAAGTTTGTGAGCCGTTTATAGTTTGTTTCAAAGATTTACATCTTCAGCAGGAATAAATTGGCATGGGGCTGATTGCCACAGAGAAGGTAAAGGAGTCACACTGTTTGTTTTGTTCTTTTCGTGGAATTTGTTGACAATAAAAAAAATAATAGAATAACACCAGCTTTATCCTAAAAATAGTTTAAGATCATTTGCTGTTTAACCTGTACTATGGTCATGAAAGCTCTTACATTTCTCGTTCTTGAAACCTGGTCTCAACTTTGTCCATATATATAGAGCAGTGTACAGAAAGTGATGCTTTTCCTGCAGCAGCAACAGCAGCTTGGAATAAACAAAAAAAGGATCTAGGTATTACACTGAGCAGTGAAAGCTACCAAGACTGCACAAACAAAGAAAAACATGCAGAAAGTACAGAACCTCACACCGCATATCACTCTGCAAACAACCCGTCAGCCTGGACTCTGTTCAAAAAGAACAGAAAATATTTCAAAATCATTGTTGTGTGTTGAAATGAACACTGCGAGGAAGGTATAAGACGCATCACTGTGGCTTGCACATGATCAGACAAGGATGCATAAACACATACAGGCGCACAGATGAAAATGTCCATTACTAAATCCCACCTGATCACACATTTAGATTCACATCAACAGAAAGGAATGACTCTGAGGACCTGAGGCACAGGTGAGCTATCCCTGGAGAGGAGACAGAGAGAGGATTTATTTTCATTTCTTCTCCACCGGTAATAACAGGGTTTCATTTTGTGTGTCTGTGTATTTTTCGTTATTTTGTCCATGTGTTTGTAGTGGATGAAAAATAGAAACAACAGTGTGTGTTTGTTGTGTATTAAGCCCTTGTGTTTTTGCCAGTGCAAACAGCAGTGATGTGGGCAGTTTACTGACATAATCAGCTAATAAACAGACTAATTATTGCAACACATCTGGAGGGTAAACTGAATGGTTTGCAGATTAGCTGAGGTGTATGGCTGCCACGACAGCGAACTGCATTAGCACAGCTGCAACGAATAATAACAATACATTGTGGTTCAAGATGAGCAGTGCTGAATTAGTAATGGAAGTGAGTCATCCAGTCAGTAACATATTGGTTTTCGGAGCGGTGAAATCTGTGCTATTAACATTTTCTGATAAGGGGAAGAACAGAAAATGTTTATTTTAACAAACTTTTTTTTTATTACTTTCCAAAATGTAGAGTGTACTTCAAGCCTTACTGACTTGAACATAACTTAACTAACAGATGTTGAATGTTGAGGAGAAAGTTATTCTAAGTGCTTTTATGTGTTTCCATAATCACTGCTACAGAATAGAGGGGACACTCTGTAGTCTAAGGCCTCTTCCTTCGGAAACGTGGATACTGGTTCAGCTAACTAAAGGCGCCTGTCATGGTTTTTAAAATCAAACATCATTGCCATGTTGTCATTATGTCATGTTGACCCCTCTCCCAGTTTTCTCCCATCTCTCTGCACTGAATCCTGTGTAATTAAGCAGAAAACTGAGTGTCACTGTCTCCCTCCCAGTGTGTGTCACTGAAGGAGCCTTGTGGCGATAGTTCCAGTTTGCGAGTGTGTGTTCATGCGCTTGTCTGTGTGTCTGTGCACTTGCCATGAGGCAGCAGTGGGGGTGCCAGCCTAGTTGCCATAGCAGCCCAAGATGTGCTCTGGACCCCTGCCTGAGGAGTAAACTCACGCACTCACTCACACACGCACATACACATAAAAACTGAGCTTTCACAAATGTAAACCCTAACTGCTGGCCATTAAATGCAGAAAAAAAAAATCAAAACAAAACAAAAGCAAACCAAAAAAAACCCAGTAGAATAGCTGTAGTCCTGGGGTTAGTCCAATTAGCTGCAGCTGTGCCCCACAGTGATAACAGTCAGATCAGGTAAGGTCAGCACAATTCATCTAATGCAGTTGACCTGGATTTGTCCCAGCTCTGTTGGCGGGGAGTAAAAACCATGTAGTATACCGGATAATTATATTAAAGGAACATATTCTGTTCTGTATATAGGGAACGAGGAGGCCCCTTGTTGCCATACCTGCTCAGCAGCTGCTTTGAAATGCCTTCAGTTTCTGGAAGAACTGTCCTGAAAAGCTGCAGTAGTGAAGAAGGATACAGTGCAGGCTGTAGTAATAATGTAAGGAGTACTGTGAGCCTTGACACTCCTTCCACTGACACTATGGTGACGCAATGATGGAAGCAGAAGTGCAGCACAGATAAACATGACATCAGTGATACCAGCATTATGCAAGTAAGCCTGTGATATGAATCACAGCTTTCAAGTTCTAAAACTCGCTTTGACCTTTTGAGCCTCATCTTCAAGGGTTTTAGTGTCTAAACTCAGAACGGACTCATTACATTGTGTTTGTTTTATGAACCGTCTGTAACTTTCTGGCAGAATTTTGGGCATTTTATATGGGAATAGATGGTGGAGGATTCCTGACCTTTTAAGATGACTTTGGACACACAGACACCTTAGATACTTGTAGCCACTTTATGCTCATGGATGGATAAGATAGCTATCCAGCATCAAAAAGCCATGAGTAAACACAACCAAGGACAGGACTGGAATACAACCAGGAACTGATGAAATGATGTTTTATTGACTTCTGTGGTTAGAGTTCTTTGGCTCACAAGCTGTAGTCTGAAGTCAAAGTGTGATTTATTGAAATTTCAGCACAGTGTAAGACTTGAGCTGGATAAGTATTGTGTTGTGAGCGACTGTGAAAGTGTGCATGTACAGTAGCAGCACAAAAACCCTGCACTGAATTTTCTGTGATACATTTCATTACAAATCTGTTGGATTGCTTCATGGTTCCAAACTGGAACAGGGACATTGTTCTTCCTGTGCATTCAAGCCAAAGTTTTAACAGATGGCAGATGCTTTATTGAGTGAAATGTCAAGAAAAGAGTAACAACCAGCATGTTTCTCCTCTTCAGTAAAAACAGTAGCGTTTGTATCATCATTTGTATCAGGACTTAAATAACTCACCACTTGAGTGTTTATTTTTTTTACCATAGTTATACCCAAGTATTAAATTAATCTAAAAATGTTTTAATAGTGTTTAGTACAAAAGACACACACACACACACACACACACACACACACACACACACACACACACACAGCACCAGGTGAGTCACCAGTGGGCTTTGCATCTGCTTTATATTCCTTTCT